ACATATATATATATATATACCCCAATAAGGAATAATAAAGTGACCCATCCTTACATTTTTTTGGTCATGGGATTCCAGCGGACATGACAGAGAAGTGTCCTTAACACCTGGGGCGTCTGGGTGGTCACGGCATTGATCTGGTCGGTTCTGTTCTAAATAGTTGACCATGGACTCGGCACCGACATGGCCCATCTTGTGCTCCAACTCTGCCAGGGTTACCCATCCCCGTGTGTCGGTGTCGACAGTACCTTCCTTGTTGGTTGACTCGATGAACACCTTAGATTTTTGCCAGTCTCCTCCAGCTTCCAGCCACTGTCCGAAAAGGTCTTGGAGTGGCTTCACATCACCTTAGGCAGCAGGTCAAGTTTTGCGGGGCTCATCATGTAAAAGAGATAAACCCCACAGCACATGTTTTTTGTTTTGCGGCTGATCTGTGGACGAAATGGCATCAAAACAGATACGGCATGCCAAATCATGACAACTTGATGACTACGTATGCCGGATATACGGTGCATACTTTTGGCCAGTTGCCATGCTTCCGGCTGGCAAGCTGGGCCTTTACCCCCAAGGCTTTGATTTCATCTGGCGTTTTTCGGGCGCTACCTCAGCAATAGAAAAAATGATGATATCGATCGATTATTTGTAAAGGTTGTGTTGAATGTCAGAATGGGGCCCCAACTCTCGAAGGTCCGCATGAACTTCACCCACTGGGCATGCCTCTTTTTTTTCTGCTCTTCCTTAAGTTTCCTTTCCTCCTCTGCTGCTGCTTCCCCTGGGGGTAGGTCCTCTGACACAACATGTGGAGCGGCCACCGGTGTGGCAGGTGGGCTGGCCAGGTCACAGGTCGAGGGTCGGAGCAGGTTGCTCTCAACGGCTTTCATCGTTTCATTCTCTGCTGTCATCTCTGTCTCCTTCTCCTGCGGCTTCTCTGCCTCTTTCGTCTGTTGCTCGGTATCACCCTTTGCTTTCTCTTTCTCATTGGTGTTCATTTCGGGTTCTGGAATCTTTGGATCGCCAGCCTTCTCCTTGGCCATGACCCAATTCTCGAAGTCCCAGACCTCTTCACATGCCACCTGTGGCACCTTTCCAAACTGCCTCACGGCATTCCACTCCTCCGCCGTCTGGGGTTCAAGCACCTCCAGAACCCACTGGTTGAACCAGGGGTGAGTCTTGCACGACTGCACCCTTTGAGCCAGCTGCTCCTGTGAGAGGTCGTAGAGCTTTTCCAGGCGGTCATCCTCTTCCGACAAGTCATGTAGTTCTTTGGTATTGCAAGGCTTCACAACATCTGCAAAAAAAGGAGCTTCCTTTTCCTTTGCTTCTGTTTTTTGGTTGCCCTTTGGCTCTAAGTGTTGCTGAGGTGCCTTTGCTGCTTCTGCCAACTCATGCCCCAAATCCCTAGCCACTTGCTTTGGATTCACTTTCTTCCCAAGCTTTCCAGTTGATCCCTTGCCGTTCTTAGTCTTCTTCTGCGATGCCTTTGAACCTTTTTTTGTGCTGACTTTCTTCACCTTCATAGCTTTCGCTTTCTTTGACTTCGCATTCTTTGACTTCGGCTTGTCCTTCCCTTTACTCTTTGCTGCGACCTTTGGCTTCGAAGCCTTCGACTGGGCCAAGTGGGCTTGAATCTCCTTGTCACTGGCTGGCTGCGTGTCAGCCATGTCTTGTCTTTCCTGGGTGTCACCTGCGTCAGTTGGTCGGACATGGGGATGGGCCAAGTGTAATCCAAAGTCTGATGGGCCGAATCCTGCACCATCTTATTGGTAGTATTTGGTAACCCCAACTCTGGTGGTGCTTGATTTTGTCCATCAGCATGATTTGCGAGCATTTGACAATGTGCCAAAACTCCCACTGCCTACAGGCAGTGTGGTTTGTGAATCTGACCTTAGCTAGCCAATAGTACAGGCAAATTTGCAGGTGCTTGGGTTAGAATGTAGACTGCTGTTGAATGCCCTTTTTATTATCCGTTTTTTTTTGGGGGAACCTTTGAAACAAAGCCCCCAACGCACTGGCATGCAAAGGTCTCTGCAAAATAGACCTAGCACCTTTCCCTGCTTCCAAGAGCTTCGAGATCTCACTTGTGTCCATGGCCGTGTAGACCAGGTGGCCGTGCAAATGGCCGAAAGCTAACTGCTAAGCCGAGGCGTTTGACCCTAAATCGAAATCGGAATCATCAGTTCCCAGAAAATGAGCAAAATGCATTTCATATTTTTTGCTGCGAAAATGCTGTCATCAAGAGTGGGCTGCTCACGCTTGCTCACGGTTTGCTCACGGTTGGCTCACGGTTGCTCACGGTTTGCTCACGGTTTGCCGAGGTTCCTTTTGAGTCCTTTAGGTTCCTTTTGAGTCCTTACGAGGTTCCTTTTGAGTCCTTACGAGGGTCTGCTCACGGTGCTCACGGTTTGCTCACGGTTGCTCACGGTTTGCTCACGGTGCTCACGCTTTGCTCAAGCTTTGGGGATCTTTGGGGAAGTATTTGAAACCCATATGCAAAGGATGCCACATTTTTTCCGAGCCATAGCTTTCAGTGTACAGGCTATTTGAGGCTGAATTTCAAATCGAATTAAGCGCGTAGGAGCCCCACACGCCACTCACAACTTTACTCACAACCCTTCGCTGAAGCGGGGTTGCCACACCCCTGCCTCAGCTTGAGATCTGAGGTATTGCTTTATCGGCTCCAAATCTGCATGGCTCCAATCGAATGGTGCTTTTGAAGCCTGGCACAACGTGGGATGGGTCGATGCTATGGGGTTCGAAATCACCAAATTTCCGGTTCGATCTAGCTTAAAACGTCGGAAGTTAGAGTATACGTAAACATATGGGACTACTGAATTCATGAACCTTATTGGTGGCAGATTGGTTGTTGTTCTTATTGGTGGCTGAGTGGCGCCCTACTTGCCAAGCAAGTTTGGCCTGAATCGATTCTGGGTTGTTGCACGCTGTGTCCAAGATGCTTTTGAGAAAGCCTTTCTTCATGTCCTCTGTCGGGCAATGGCGTAGGCACTGTTTCAAACCATGGCTAGTGGAAGGCTTCACCCTCAAAGGATCCCAGCTAGGGCATATGAAAACTGGAAATATCTGGCACCAATGTGTGCTCTTCCTGAAAACTGTGTCGAAAACTTAATGGTTTGCAATTGGATACTCCTGGTTTCCAAAGGTTTCCACCAGCTGTGTACTAACACATTTCTATCCCTGGAGAACACCCCATTTGAACATGTAGGATCAATTCAATGGCCAGGCCAATCGGGCCATTGAATTATTTAGGGCATATCCTCCCAAACCCAAAATTTAAGGCATGAGGCATCCTCATATGTATATATATATATATACACGTTCCCAGTGGTTATTTGGGGGTAGATGGGTGCCCTCCCTGTCAATCTTCGTCCCGCTCCTTTCCATATAGATGTCTCAAGGCCACAGTACGCCCAAAAGAAGCTGGGTACTGCTCAGTTTGCTTCAACTTTGGCCCTCCCGACCTCAACATATTTTGCGTAAGCGTCATGGCCGCGCTAAAATGGGCCCTGCCACTATGACACACAAAACTGCACGGGTACAAGATAGGACAAGTAACACTGTTGTTTTGCCAGTAGTCGGATCTTTCCGCTTGATGGTTACACCGGCACTGGACAAGCCCAATTTTTTGCGAAGCTTCACCGACATACGCAGAAAAAGTCGTTTGATCCAGGGCCTAGGCAAAATATATACAAATGGCCATGCTGAACTCGATGCCAAACTAAGTATTGAATCCACGTAAATTGTGAGGCCCTGGCGCCGACCCCCATCCACGGGATGGCTTGCAACACATATGTTGATAATGCCCCATCCAACTCAGCAGGCCGGGGCAGGCAAGCTCTTTGGGTAAAATGGTGGGCTATAACTTGCAATTGGAAACCACTAGGCCCAGGTGTACAACGTGCTAGCTCTGAGATCCGAACAAAAATGAGGAGTGAAAGCGGATTCCGAAACGCTTGCACATCTCTTGGACAAACTTGAAGTACGGCACCATGAATAGCCGGGATGAAGACGGCTGTTCTATAAAAATGTAACACGCCCTGCAAACTAGCACCAGCAAAATTAAAGCTGTTCGACATCCAATCCTGGGCTCATGAAACAGGCGCGCATCACTCCAAACATCACATAATTGCATTCATTTTTTTGTCAAACTCTCCAAACCCTTAATGCGAGTGGCTGATTTGCTATTTGAATGTACCGCAGGTCCTCATTCCCAAATGGCTGGGCAGCACTGCGTTGATGAGTAGGGCAATTAAGGAATATGTAGGACCCGCAAGGTATGCCAAATCCGGCGAATCCGTCTGGTCGTACCCGGAGCGCCTGTTGCAATAGTTTCAAGAATCCAGACCTTGGCCACTGGCATCGGCATTTCTTGTGATGCAAGAATTTGCGTGATCTAGACCTATCACCCTGCCAGGTTGTCATTTCATTCTTTGCGGGGATAGCTTGAACTTTCAACATCTTTCAAAATTATGAACTTTGCGTTCCCTTTGCTTTGAGAAAGGGGCCATCAAATCAAAAAAAAGGGTTCCTGATATAATTATTTCATCCCTAGAGGAAAGGGGCAACAAAATTTGAGGGCCGAGCGTGCTCAAGACGTCATTGTCAGTCCCCTTTCGGAGAATGTCAAAATCGAGCCTTGCAACGAAGGCATCTCAGGTGGACATATTTCTATACAGCAATATGACCCTATAATCATCGAACAAATTGACGCAGCCGGTCATTACCACAGCTTTGTGCAAGTGACTCAATCCTATAGGGTTTCAAAATGTCTCAAAATAGGGGATCCCAAAGCTTCAAAATAATGATATCGATATTATTGTATCTGACTAAATATTTTTGGGATCCCCCATTTTGAAGCATTCCCCAATCACAAGGTATTGGGCCTAGAGAGGCAGGCCCCTGCCACAGCTGAGGACCTGGCGTCTTCCTGCTAAAGCGGCCTTTGTCACAAGTCTGCATGTGGCACTCATCACATGTGGCTTCGTGCATTTAATTTTTAGTGCAGGAACCCCACTGAATATAGTAAATTTCCGTTTGCAGTGTGCGATGTTTTGGGGCCCTTTCAAACTAGCAATGTTCCTGCTGACCCCCAAAGAAAGCCCCCACCAAGGAAAAGTAGCAAAAAGGAACCCCCTCCCCCCCCCCCGGGGGGGGGGGTTCCTTTTTGCATGTTTTTAGGTCTTTTGGCAGTGGCGAACTAACACAAAATTATTTAAAAGATTGACACAAAATGATTTCAGGATTGGAAAAGTACCCCAAAAAACAAAAGTCTATCATGAACATCAAGGGGAGTTGGTGTTGATGAGTCTTGCGTTTAATTCTCGCTGTGAGTTTGTTCACAGAAGCGTGAATGAAAAACCACCAAAGCCAACATGAGCAGCTGGGGTATGGACGAAATCCCTTGCTGATGGACCGTCCTTCTCCGCAATATGCATCCAAGCAGTCAACATCCTCAGCAAGCCGGGGGTTGCAAAAAAATATATGTTTCTCTTGAAGTTGTACTTCCATCGAATAATTCCACCCCCTTTTACATCACTGGTTTCCCAATTGTTGCACCGGGATTATTTGCCAATTTTTGGTATGCATGACCCGTGCGCACTTGACACGACCTTCCAAATTGGAACCACATTTCAAGAAAAACAGCGGTGATGATGATGATGACGACGATGATGATGATTATGATGATCTAACCAATCGTCATCTAAAAAAATAACAAATCGTCATCTAAAAGGCTGACAGGCAGGCTTTCATAGTGGATGTGTCGAAAATTGGACTGGACCTGTCAAAAGCTGAGGACACGACCCTGCGGTTCACCAACGGGTTGTGGCAAGACACTTGGTCGATATAGTCGCAACAATGGTACCTGGGCAATCAGGGCCAATAGGTCGATAGATCCAAGTGATCGATCAGTACCAGTATATATCTGACGTTGAACACATGTAATTAATGATCCATGTAGCCAATTGCAGGTCAAATGTTCAATTTCGATTTGACTTCAAAACATTTTGTAAACCAAGAAACAAAACCAATGGCACACAGCATGCTTGAAGCAACAAGCAATGGCGAGCAGTGAGAGCGAGTGCACCCGGCATGGCGTGTCTCTCTGGGAAAATATCTACTCAAGATGGCATATGCCGAATGTCATTGACGCCATTGAATATTTAGTGTTCGATATGCTGCTAATGGCAAAATTTATGTCCTGACTTTGGGTGGTATTTTCTAGTGCGTAGGTTATAGTACACACACTTCGAATTCCAAACTATATAAACTCCAGAGCTCATGCAGACACAGGCTTAAATAGCAAAAGGCACCTGCGTTCGTGTGAACATGCTCACATATTCATATTATAGGCTGCGCATGGTGCATTGAACTGTGACTCAAGTTGCGAGGACCAGCCATTTTTTCGACACACCGTACCGCACCTGTCCTGCCCATGCCACAAGATGCCACATAGCTTTCAACCTGCCAGCGACAGCGTTTTGAAACCGTGGCTTGGGGTTGTAACATGTTGTAATGGGGCTGGTGCATGTGGCATGGGTTGTGTGTTTATCGCAGGTTTTAGGAGCCAACCTTTTGTTGCAATTGGATGCAACCGGTTTCTTTGGGGGTTCAAAGGTCCCTGAAAGCAAGGATGCCAAGATGATGCTAATGTGAATAACCTCAAATTTGAGTTCTTCTAATAACAATAATAACACCTTCTACGATGCTAGGAGAGAACATTTGGCACCAAAATTAAGGGGACCTGATTCCTTGAGGGGAGCCCACCCGGCCTAATGGGTCCCAGCCGGCCATCACGCATGCTTTGCTCCACCTCAGGATATGCGAGCAAACTTGGTGCATCGAAAAACCGGGCGACTTGGAGGCCAGCCCACTGGAATGTATGAGCCCGAGCCCATGGAAACAGAAAAAAGTAGGCTTAGACATCACTGTTTTTAGAAACCACCTGATCTGAGTCCTCAACGCAGATTTGAGCCCACCATGCTTTGCCCAGGATAGTGTCACCGATTTCCTCGAAGGGTTTACCTGCCCGCAGGAATTAAAACCATAAGGGACATGAATGTATAATACGCCCTGCCCCGGTAAACATATTATTGAAAACTGGGGTACATCTATGTATAATTTTGTTTTGAGTAAAAACCATTCGAGTAGTTCAACCTCTGTGGGTGGATATCCCCACCTTGACATCAGGGCCCCCCATGCTAGAGTTCACCGAGTCGACATGCTGTTGATCGATGGGACCAATGAAGAAGGACCGTGTCACAAACCTCAATCTGTCGCATTTAAGGGGCTGCCAAATTTTCAAGTTGCCACATGCCATCGAAATGCCTATAATCAAAAGCACATGTTTCCAAACCTAAAATTGGCCAGAAACAAGACTCCGATGCTAGGCCCCTTCGGCGAAAGAGATGGCAGTGTGAAGGACCTCAAAGGCCAAACGCGTACTTTGCAAAACAAATTGGGAGGGAAGTGCTCTGGTGCAAAAATGATGAACCATCCAATGCAAGTCGCTTTACATTGCTCAACTCGAAGGGGATGATAAAACGGGAATCCTGGATCTCCTTGTTGGCCTCATCCCGAAACTTTTGGACCACCTTCACACGGATGACTATGGTGAACGTTTCGAACCATCAATTGCAATGTAGTTCAATTTAAGAAACATTGAAACAAATACTTGCATGAAGGACATGGCTGGCCTCCTGGTGTTCTTTGATCTCTGGCAAAGCCTTGGTGTATGTACCCCCAATGAGATCGCTATTGATAGGTGGAAATTCCATGTGCAGAGGATTTGTTGTGGTAGCCTTAAGTACATGCAACAAAGTAACATTGTCAGCAGTAGCTGCCCTCAGAGCCCGCTTCAACTTCGGGGTTCTTCGGCGCTTGGGGGTCTTAGGTTTCTTTGTCTTTGGGGTTCGAGGGGAGCCACGTCGTCTCCTAGTCGGCTTTTTCGGAGTCTTCTTTGGTTTCTCATCTTCACCCGGACCCTCTTCTGCCTCAAGCTCTACTTCTAGTTCCTGGTCTTCTTGCTCCAAATCGGCATCAGTGCCGGCATCCTCTTGACACTCCTCTTCATCTGATCCCTTTGCTTTTTTCCCCTTACCCCGACCTCCACGGCCGCGACCACGGCCTTTCCCCCGTCCTGCTGACGGCTTCGGGGCATCGGAAGGTGTCTCCCCTGCTGCAGGCTTGAAAGAGTCAGCTGCTGATCGGAGCTTCATTTGCGCCTGGCAACGGCGTGGGAAACCTGGCGATGAAAATTATAAGACTGGCTGTAACAACATTTTGGGGCTGCAGTCTTGTTTTTACCCGTTTGGACAAAACAACTCAAAGAAAATGACCGATTGAAAACCCATGGATTTATAACCGGCGTTTGTTGTTTTTGGAAACGATTTGTCTCAAGATGAGGGATTCCAAATAAAAAACCATAAATATCAACACCATTTAACACCCAGAAGCACACCAATTTCATAGGGTACACTTCTTGGGAGGTGTGATTAAGGAATCAAAGATCTGATAATATCTATAAAAAAGATTGGAAACTTGATTTGAACAGTAAATTGTACCACCCAAGCACATATGCCAGATAATTAAATCTGGACACGCCGCAGGGGACCCACATTTCACCATATTACACCCCACTAGATGCCGAAGTCTTACATGAGCCAATGGTGCATCAAATAAGAAGCTCAATGTGGCCTCTACAATTCCAGAGGTATGCTGGGATTAAGATGCCAAACCGACCCACCGCTAGTGACCTTCAGCAGATCTTCCTCTTCAAACAAGCCTGAGGCCCTCAAATCGGCCAGTTCGTCGTCTGCCGCAGCCCTCAAAGTGTCTGGGACGGAACGCAGTGGGAAAGGCTTCTCCTGAACGGAAGATTCATTGATCGAAGTGGGGTTGTTTGCCACAACAGTTGTGATTGAGACTCATTACTGTAACGTTGGTAAATTGCAATTGGAATTTTCGACGCTCGACTTATTAAATAAACACCCCATAACCCCATAGTCCTTTGGCTTCTGAACATCACCAGCTGGACCGGCGTCAGACACACCTAAGGGGCACATTGCTTCAATGAAAGGGACAGCCAACTCTCACAAAGTTGGGTAAGATTGACCAGATATTCAAGGGACAAAGTGCATGATTTTGTTCCCCACCTGCCAGGTGAGGGTTGTTAGATTTTATGTCAGTTGCCTCCTCCTCCTGCCTCGTCCTCCTCCTCCTCCTCTCCTCCTCGTCCTCCTCGTCCTCCTCGTCCTCCTCGTCCTCCTCGTCGTCCTCGTCGTCCTCGTCCAACTGCGACCCGCGATCCACAGTGTTCTCTGCCGGACCTCAACCACGACCATCCACGCCCAGTGTTCCCTGCCGGACCTCAACCACGACCATCACCGCCCAGTGCCACGACCATCCACGCCCAGTGTTTCCTGCCGGACCTCAACCGCGAGTATCCACGCCAAGTGTTCCCTGCCGGACCTCATGTAGGAAGATATGGGACAAAGAATGTGCAGAAGAAAGTTAGAAAGAATGTCAGAAAGAATGTCAGAAGATATGCCAGAAGATATGACAGAAGATATGCCAGATAGAATGCCAGATAATATGCCAGAAGATATGCCAGATAGAATGCCAGAAGATTTGCCAGATAGAATGCCAGAAAATATGCCAGAAGATATGCCAGATAGATATGTCAGAAGATATGCCAGAAGATATGCCAGAAGATATGTCAGAATATATGCCAGAAGATATGTCAGATAGAATGCCAGAAGATATGTCCGAATATATGCCAGAAGATATGCCAGATAGAATGCCAGAAGATATGTCAGATAGAGTGCCAGAAGATATGCCAGATAGAATGCCAGAAGATTTGCCAGATAGAATGCCAGAAGATATGCCAGAAGATATGCCAGATCATATGCCAGAAGATATGCCCGATAGAATGCCAAATAGAATGTCAGAAGATATGTCAGATAGAATGCCAGAAGATTTGCCACTAAGAAAATGTATAAATGTCATGGTGGGGATCACACGAAGTAAAGTATGTTTTTTCAGGGGTTGCCCCTTCAGAGTGATGATATTACCAGATGGGTGAACCCCAAAAAATTGCGAAATTATTCAAGAGCCACCTCGTGCAAACCCCTTCGGTCCTTATTCGAATATTTTGATGGCAGCTGAGCATTGATTCGGTCATTATTGGCTGAGTGACTAGGATCATGATCCCTCTTGAGCTGATTTAACATTTTTCCAAAACTGCGGAGTATTTACCATCTATGGCAATTTATGGGGTTTAGCCTTGCAGTCAAGTCGAACCTACCCCTCGGGAGCCATGAGCCAAAAGACTCACACATTCGTCATCAGTAGCGCTCTCTTCCTCACCTCCTCGCTCGCCCAGTTCCTCCAACTCTTCCACATCAGATGAGCCTGGGCCAGGTGCGGAGAAGAAGGGTTTTAAATGTTTAAATGGACAATAGTGATATGAGCAGAAGGTCAGCCAGGTAACTATGATCAGCACTGTCCAGGGTCATAAGCTTTGCTTTTTTGGAACTTGCAGCTGGGGATTTTTTCCCTGGTGATTTTTTGCTAGGGGTGCGGGTCCTTTTGCGTACCAAAGATGGTCGACCACCTTCCTGCTCCAACGCCTTGACCATGGCTTTGATTTTGGCCATGTTCTTGTCCCACGACCTGGTGGCTGCTCAGCAATATTATATATAGGGGGGCAAATATATATAAATATTTATAGCTACAGCTAGGATCTAGATAGCAGCGCATAAACCATTGATCATTTTTATGTCATTACATCTTCCCCCAATCATTTTTATGTCACTACATCTTCCCCCAATCTCCGGCAAGCGTACTGCATCAGCCCTCTATGCAGGTCAGCTTCAGTATTGGCCCACGCCTGGCACGCTGGTTGGCGTTGGGCAGGAGCTCTATGCATGAGGAATCTTGTGGAAATGTGATCCTAAAAAGGAATATGTTCAGCATAGTTGGGATTACGTATATAAATGTTATTTCGGGTCTTTTTGGGCTAAAAGGAACGTTGCACAATACCATCATATAATCAGCTGCCTAAGGAAAACGCCGCATACTGATATGATTGATTATGATATCCCATCCAGGGCCTCTATTTCGAACACGGCGGCGCCATCACCAAGCAAATTGTGCAGAGTGGCTACTTCTACCAAGGCTTTCTCCGGAACAGCAGTTTTCGGAACAATCAATCCGACCGTCGCCATGAACTTCAGGAGAAATTGGCAGTTGGTCTCATCCTTGACCTACAGCTTTGTGACTTTGCTTCAATGCGGAAGGGTGGCCGAGCGGAGGAACAAGGGATGGATATGATTGATCGAAAAATCATTGCCATATCAAAGCGGCCAAGTATGTGACGATGATTTTTTGATTTTCAAGATTGGGTTCCCCCGCATCTGCTGCTTTGAACTGGTTGTCCCTCGAGCGAAGGTTGAGAAAGTTGAACACGCATGGAGCCTGCGACAAGGGCTTTACCCAAACCCTGGGGCGAAGATCTTAATTTGAATCGACTTTGATACTATACCCATTCCTATCCGTACATTGTCATACACACAGTGCAATTTTGAACAATGGCAGGCCTTCTTCTTTTCAAGACATTGGGACACCATGTTGGCTGGAATCCCTTTCTGCCGAGCTAGCTGGTGCCAACGTTCAACCTTGTAGTTGCCATCCAGGAGGTAGCTGTTGTAAAAGTCCTGCTGGCAACCGGCGCAGTGAGGTGGAACACAAAGTAATATCCGCAGGTTCTCCCACAACATCTTGTAATAGGATGTTCTGCACATGATCCCAAATAGGAAAATCGATTATAATAAAAGTCCCAGCCCAATCCTTCAACTGCTTCACACTTAACTCATCCGGCTTGTGGCGCGGCATTGCAAGGCGCCAGAAGCGAATGCAGCTGGCTCATGGGTCAAAAACCAGCGGCTGTGTGGAACGGACCGAGGTTAACCCATGTCAACCCTATCAATCCCATCCGAACAACATGGTGCCCAGAGACCCCCAAATCAAGCCAGGATCACGATCAGTGGGACCATAGAGGTCATGAGTCAACTTCTCTTCGAAAATTTCAAGTTGACGTCTTTTGAGCGATCTTCGAGCCATAGAGGTCATGAGTCAACTTCTCTTCGAAAATTTCAAGTTGACGTCTTTTGAGCGATCTTCGAGCCATCCCATGGTGCTAACCCTGGTTCAGCGACCGTCCACCATATGAACGTTCCTTCTGAGCCCAAAGGACTCAAAAAGTACATCTATAATCATCTATGTAAATGGCATTATGACATGTTCCTTTTAAGCCCAAAGGACCCAAAAAGTACATCTATAGATAATATTGTGCAACGTTCCTTTTAGGCCCAAAGGACTCAAAAAGTACATAGTCCCAACTATGCTGAACACGTTCCTTTTGGGACCACTTTCTACGAGATCTCATAAGACCTCAAAAAGTTGACCCTTAGACTTTTAGGGATTTGTATTAATTAATATAAACCAACTTATTATTGTAACTGAGGGGGGCCTGTCTAGTACATATGTATAATATCTACATATATAGAATTATATCATAATATCTAAAATGTAAATAGCTACATATACATTTACATATATTTAGATATTATAATAGCTACATAAGACACATAATACCTATCATGTAAATGTGTCTTTTCCTTTCCCGCTACAATCTATGGCCATTGAAACTAACATGACCTGCTGGAAATTTCCCCATTGAGTTCGATGATTTCACCAGAAAACCTCCACTTTGATCGGTGTCCCGGCCATGTTTGATCTCCTATACTATACATGTCCCTCCCCGATGGTATATGATGGTATGGTACCTCCCTTCCCTCAAAAATACCTACCATTTGCGTGCAATTTGCAGTATTTGAGAGTCACAGCCTCCCATTTGCACCCTAAGAAAGCCATATGCTGCCTATATACGACCTACGTGCTGTCCATATACACGTTTATTTTCTACCTGGTATACCTATGTACAAGCCATAGCGTATCATAGCGTATCTATATTACTATTCATCAGTTGCCTATGATTGATGTATTGCCAGTATTATATCCATACATGGGACCCATATAATACTTTATAGCGTAGCTATAAAACACGTATGTTTAATTTATATATATATATAAACAAACAATATACATACATACTATTATCATCTATTATCCATACTCATGTTCAGCATCCAAACCACCCGAACCCCTACCCCCTACCACAGGGGGAAGGAGGCAACCACATACACTACCTAATCCATCGTACTTTTATTGTACTACCAGCGGAAAAAAAGCAACGACCCCAAGCTGCAAACACTCCTTTAGATTTTGGTATATATGTATATATATATATATATTCCATACATAATGCATATACAAACTACATCTAATAGTCTATCAATCTATCTAGATCTATACAGTATATGATTATGTATATATAATATATTATGTGATCCCCCTTGATTGATGGGTAGGAACCCGTGCCCCACCATTCCATAAAAACCTGGTTTATGTAATGGTTGGGTACAGGTATATTTGTATAGAATGGATCCTTTTTTGGGCTTATATATTATGGAATACCACCATTGTACTACCTAGCAGGCCGGATATGCAAAGAAATGCTTCGCCAGTATGTTATGGAAATGGCAAAAAAATGAACTCTTGAAACCAAGAAAATTTGACTTGTATATTATGGAATTGGTTATTTTTTGAGGGGGTCATTTTAAGGTATCTTAAGATATTTTAAGATAAAATTTCGGTGTATAAAATGGATAATCTTCTATTGTTTCTGTATTTCGTGTTTCAAATACTAGACTTTTCATGATTATTCCATTTTATACACTTCTTATGGCTCGAGGACTTCGACCCGGCAGGGACGGGGCAACACGATGGGATTCACACCGGGACAAAACAACGGGGTAACACAACGGGTAGCCAAACAGGGGGAACAACGAGAAAATGAGAAATGTCACGTTTATACTTGGTTATATGGGTTATGTGGGTTATTTGCGGTTATTATCCACAATCTTATATACATATATATATATTATATATATATATATATTATATATATATATTATATATATATATATTATATATATATTATGTTTTTGTATGTTTTATCCACAATCACTTTTCAAACATTCAGTGGTTCATTTCAAGACATCGATCGCTGAAAGAAACTTCCATTTGATTAACAGATCTCCAAGTTTCCGTAAGTGTTCAAACTGGAACCTTCCAAAAAATAGCAAACAACATTTATATTATGGAAATGCCGATTTTGGGACTAATGATTCCAAAGAAAAATGCAGCTGTATGTAATGGAATTACCATCGTTTTGTATGAAATGGAGGGGTGCAACATGGCACCAAAATTTAAGGGTTTTTTGCCCCGTTTTCCAAGATGGGCCGTGTATGAAATGATGTTGGTTTTTCCATTTCATACGGGGCATGGGTTCTTCCATTCCATACAGGTACAGTCAAGGGGGATATTATGTGTATGTCTGTATAAGCCAACCAGTTACCATTCATCTGGCGCTTGGTTGTTAGATTGCTCATCAGCTCATCCCCACAGGAGGTGTACCTGGTATACCTTGACCGCCTTGACCATGGGGTTTGGGTCTTGGGACGCCGATGAAGCTGGAAGATATATTTCCAGTCAACCCAATAGATGGTTAATATATGGTTAATAATATAATCCATATATAAATATCTGTTTGGTGATTGAGCCCCACCCCTCTGAAAAATCATGGAGTGAAAGTCAGTTGGGATGATGACATTCCCAATAGATGGGAACACAAAAACAATGTTCCAAACCACCAACTAGACTTCCATTAATTAAATGTTGATGGTGTTGATTTGTTGATGGTTAATGTCAACTCCGGATTTTGCTAAACCACGGTTTAGTAAAAATTGTGAGGGTACCCTCCATATAAATAGTCACTTTATATGATACATAAATGGTCCCAATTAAAAAGCCGTAAATGGGGTTTATTAATCCAGTGCCAAAAAAAAACTCATTGAAGCTCCATTTCCAGCTCCATTTCCATCTCCAATTGTTGGGAAAATCTCCATGGAAATTGCCATGAAAGCGCCGCCTGGTCGTGGGGACTCTTGGCCGTGTGGAGGATAAAGGTCACGATGTCGCGCAAGTCCTCCGCAACGTAGCGCGGAAGGGAGGAAGAGACAGTCCCTTTTTAGAAGTGGAGAGTGCTTGAACCGGAACACATTTTCATGGGACTAATTGAGGAATCATGGAAAACCATCCGTACATGAAGGTTGTAATGTATGCTGCTAATGGGAGATCCTCGGTGAAAATGGAAGGTTTACAAAGGACATCAATCTACCATCAATGGGAAAAACGACTGCGGCTGATTTAACTAAATGCTGATATGTTTTTCCACGCTTTTCCGGTTTCGGAAGTGGATAAGAAGACACAAAATTTGAGATAATGTGAGAAATGAATACTGCATGATGATAATGCTGATATGATTTTCCCCATCTATCAAGTGGATAGTACGTGATAATGACACCGTGGCTGACCATCCCATTGAAGATTGTGTGACTCTGGCCGATAAATCATCCTAAATCATCCCGCATTTCCCGTATCATAAATGGAAAACGTTGCCACTCTTGTACTGATGACTGTTGCCAGCTGGTCACTCTCAGAACACGTAGGCCGTCAATTGCCGGTGCTAGTGACCACTTAAGCTTGACGGGCCCTTGTAGGGTTTGTCGCGAACATGGGTTCTAAATCGCATGGTTTTTCACACTTGTTCATAGGTTCCATTGTGAAACCGTGGGCTACCATGGTACCAAAAAAGTGTTTTATCCGATCCTATTAAAGAAAAGGTATTTTGGGCATTCCCCATGTAGAAACCAGGCCATCTATGAAAATTTGCGAGGTAGGCTACTGTGCCTCGAAAGAAATGTACTTACCGTCCTCCAGTTGTTTCTTCATTTTCTCCGGTTGAGCCGCTCCTGGCCATGTGGCTGTGAATTCCTGGAGCCCTGACCGTGGCCGGTCCCACGGTCCAACCGTGGAACCGAACCGTGCGACCGGCCACGGTTTCACGGTTGCAACCCCCCCTTGTACCGCCCTTCTCGAAATGTCCATATAGTATAATATACATGTCATATACATGTCAATAATAAGAACGATTATTGCCCTCAAACTTGAGACTTTCAACATCTTTGAACCACCTGGTCGATGTCCCATGGTCCAGTTGGATCCTGCGATCCCATCATGGAAGTCAAACACGAAGGTCTTGGGACGCAAACGTGCCTCCCATGCTGCGGCTATGCTTGGTATAAGGTCAAGCCTTAAAAAAGATAGAAAACATGAACAGAAACTAATCGCTATTTAGTGTGACTTTACTTTTCTGCACATTTTTTGGTGGTTCAGAAGGTTTCCCTAAAGTTTACACAAGTTCCGTAATTAGGTGAAGTAATGGGTGATTTGGGTGGAGGGATTGGGGACTTCACATCAACAAAACAGGGAATCTACAGTAGATTGGGTAAAACTTAATAAAAAACACAGCACTCAAACCACCATTTTTATAAATAGGTGGTATGTTTACCATTCCCACCCTAAATTTGTTTTACCTACATGAAAATTTTGATAGAAACAACCGACCGTTTCATCAATCATTGGGCCATTGGGTCAAGGCCGGCAAAGGCTCGACCTTGAGAATGTTCCATCAAGTGAACTGAATTTATTGTTCCTTCAAAACATATGGATGATATTTTTGAGTCACAGTCAAGATCAGTGGAATCATGGCAACTGCATTTCTGCAGCATTTCTGCAGCATGCTATCGCAGCATTTCTGCAGCATGCTATCGCATGCTGTACATCTTGAATCCCATGCCTCAATGGAAGACACCGCCTCCCCTGCCTGGCCGATGCAGCGCCAGGCAATGGATGAGGGGGGCCCAACCCATTGGAATATCAGCTGCCAAGATGGGATGGTTAAGAGATATTAACACCTGAAGTCCTTATATAACCTAAGTCCTGATGTACCTGAAGTCAACTCTAATGTTTAAAAACCAAAAACGCTGATGAAACATCATGCCCCGAATAGTAACCCGGAGCATTCAAAAGGATTTGTTCGAGGAATGCGCAGGAAACCATGAGCTTTTCCATTAAAAAAAACAGTTTTCTCGACAAACAATCCCTGAAACCAAGTGTAATTGATCTGCGGGTGTACCGAAACAGGTTTTACCTAGCTGTCCCAATTCAGGATCGACCAACATTTTTCCATCCATCCCCCAAAATCCGGGCCCCCTTCTGAAGGGTGGTACAGTACCACAGGCGTGGTATGCAACGTTTGGATCAATCCACATATCCCCCATGTTTGGCAATTCAATCCTCATGTTTGTTACTTGAAGACCCCATGTTTGGTGCTCAACATCCCAAATTTTGCCGATAAAATACAATAGCAACCCAATAGAAATAAATAGAGTAAGAAAAACTAATTAAACAGCTACTGCAGACCTTATCACATTTGTTGTTGGCTTTTACCTCATGTGCTTGGGAAACTCAATTCTTAGCCCCTTGACTCTCCTATGGCTTTGATTGGGAATATACTGGAATATTGACAACTACAAGCATAGCCCATAGCTCGTAATCGCTCCATTCAACACCGGATAGATTCTACCCGCATTTTTCTTCAAGTTGCGTTTCCAACTTTTGCTGGTGAAACCATTGTTGATCATTTTTGGTGGCTCAATAGACATGTTTATGCCATTTTGCTATCCCTCGACTTGGCAACGAGAACTGCAGCCAGACACCAGAGATTGCAAGCCACCGCACCTGCAGCGCTTCCTGAATCTCTTCATTTCGCTGCTGCAACGCTTCTTTCAGCTGCTTTCCGTCCTGGCCGCAGCCAGGGGAACGAGTCCGGGCAGCCTGGATGCGTAACACCCTGATGGTGTTCCGAAGGGGTAACCCAGGGTTCCACATGTTCCACTTGCTACCTGATGTGTTACCCATGGTATTCTATGATTGTCTATGTTCAAAAGGAACCACATTGGAGTTTCCTAAAATAGGGGTATCCCTAAATCATCCATTTTCATAGGGTGTCCAATTATAAATAAACCCTTTTGGGGTACCCCCATGACTATGGAAACCACCATATTTGGAATGGGCTGACGTTGATGAAACTTGGTTGAAATGGTTTATATATAATGAAAAATCAATCTATAAATGGATGATTCATGGGTACCCCCATTTTAGGACACCTCCATATAAGCTGATAGAAAGCACAATCATCCCAACTGTTGTTTTGCCACGTTTGAAACCACCGGTTGTTTTGTTCCATGTTCGTCATTTCGGCAACTGTGCCGGATGGTACATTCCTTGATTTCAAATCATGCAAACTGGAAACCAAAGAACTATATAGAATCGTCACACAAAGATCGTTCTGCAACAACTCTTGTACAAGGTGGTGCCCCCCAGTCATGTTTCTTGGTTTGTAAGCCCTAGTCACCCACAAACTCCAGCTATTGTATAGTAGATATAAACCAACTTATCTCGATACCAACTAAATCCACATAACTTGGTGCGTTAAATCACCATTTCTCTCGCTTAAACCAAATGTTCGCAGGTGATTGAAAAAAATGAGACCCAGTAAATGAAACTAAATTCCATTTTATAACCCCCAGTAAATCCCATCAAATCATCGTTTACCCTAATTATATCCCATGTAACTATATATTAATCACCATTAAACCCCAGTACGTTGCAAATTCAGCCGCCATCTTTTGGAGCCGAAGAAGATCCAGCCACCTCCTTCTCTTCTTCACCTTGCGCCTGACCCGGGGTAAACAGATGTGGAAAACTGGTGGCGAAAATGTTAGTTTACCCCAGGGCATCGGGTTAATTGGCATTTCAGATTAGAACAGATTAGACATATCACCACTATTGTGTTTCATGTTAATATATGTTAATTTATAGTGGTTAGATCAAAAAAAAACTGATTGTCAATCAAATTATGCAGTAAATACTAAAGCCAAAGTGATTGTCATAATATGAAGTGGATATTGATGTCAATCAATGTTTATCATAGTTATTGAGAAGATATTGGCCTACACTGATGATCAACTAAATTACAGATCAATCAATAACCAAATTAGGCATATCATGTTTATGATGAATCATGTTCACTAAATTGGGATCATGGTATATTACATAAGGGGATACAATGGGATTGGGATACAATGGGATATACGATGGTATATGTAATGGGACAAACATAAATAAAGCCATGTAATTATTTACATGGTAACATTCATGAATATTCGCCAACATTCACAATCCACAAATCCCAAGATGATAAGATGATAAGAATGCACCTCAAGGTTTCTATTTATTAATCTGGCTGATTTTTTGTAATCATTCACTAGCCTGAAAAGTTACACCATAAGGGGATTATTCCGTAAACATCCGCATCATTTCCAGTGGTGGGGTCGCTAGGTTTTTTTTTATCCAGATCATTCCAGATCTAAATGGTGATCATCTTCAATTACCCAACTGTAACCGCCAATTCGCACATATCAACAAACATAACTAACATACCCTCTGGTAAACTAACATAGCTGTTGAAAATCACCATTTTTCTTTGGGTAAATCAACTATTTCTATAGCCATTTTCAATAGCTATGTTAGTCACTACCAGAGGGTAACTCATATTTTGAAAAAACTGGATCGTAGCCATGGTTTTTCTTAGGGCCCAAGAAACAGGTACCAACTGGGATGTCCCTCGACTAGTGGAGCTCTGTCCTACAAATTCTTCAAATGACACGCAGGGGAATGAAACATTGGGAAATCATCCCCGGTAATCCCATAATGGAGGTATACAAATATATATATATATATATTTATTTATGTACAATATAAAAATCTATATACCTATATATCTACATATCCATATCTTTATATATCTATATATATTATATATATAATCGATTAATCCATTAATCTATATATATATATCTATATCTATAGATCTAAAAATCTATATATCTATATATCATATTATGTATCTATATACCTATATTTATATCTATATATATATATACATATCTCTATATATATATATCATATTGTTTATCTATATATCATATTATTTATCTATAAAATATATTATATGTATATATATATATTAATAAATCATTTTATCTATATATCTATATATCTATATATCTATATTTCATTCTATCTATCTATCTATCTATCTATATAGATGAGAAGATCATGGGAACATCATCGAACCAACTGGGGGATTTTCCTTGCAAACTCCACTCTCCAGACTCTCCAGAGCACAGCACCACACCTTGAGCAGCGGCGCCGGAGGGGCGCCCGCACCCAGCAATTCTTGCAAGGCCTGCTGTGGGATTGACCCAACCAAAATGAGATTTTACCCCACCCAAAATGAGGATTTCTCCAACCTGACCAATCGTCAAATAGAAATGATTGGAAATGTGTGAATCATTGTTGGTAACCATGTGGATTTTTTGAAATTGAGAGAGGGCAAGTGCAGTTCACTAGCATCACCATGGCCAGTCGAAACAAACGATGGCAGACGTACAGCTGGCAAGCACATTAGTTTGGACCAGGCAAGCATTTCTGTCAGTAGGCACACGGGATGGCCAGAGGTATCCCATGTAGAAATGTGAGTTTTTAGCTGGTTGGGCTTTGTCTACGTTCCCACTTATTGTAAACAAAAGGCCCAAAGGGCCAAAGAGCACATCACTTTTTTCTGGGCGGTATGGTAGGCAGCATGACCAAGCACCACGAAGCAGTCTGCGGCAGGATTCGGGCATGAAATTCGATAATTTGCGGCCAAAAACACTCCAAAAATCCAAGAACCACACATCTTTGTCTTTTTCAGGAGGTCTGCAACCATCCCATTTTGGAGTCATCACCCTGTTGACCACCACATGTGCAACTGCAGCAAATCCTGCCGGCTGCCGGAAAATTCTGGCACCCTGCACCTGCGCAATGAAGAGGTATGGCTCAAAACATTCAAAACGATACAACCAAAGAGGTACAAGTTCAGCATAGGTGGCAATTTGCATGGGAGAATCCCCAACCCTCGGTTGCTCAAGTTATCCAACATTTCAAGCCAAGTGCAGTGCTTCAGCCATGAATCATCTGGTGATATCTCAAGTCCCCCAGTATTTGCTCATTTTTGCATGATTTACCTATTAAAAAAAATAGTTGTTCTTTTTTCCGCAGTTGTGTTCACCATTTTTGGATATTTTTGGTAGACCAAGTTGAGAAGCTTTTGGTAAGTTGATCCACCCCTTTTTCGGCAAGTTGTGCCGTCCTGTGGAGAGACTTCCCCCGTAGACATGGCATTGAAAGATATGGCGAACTGTTTGCCATCCCAAATCGTAGATACAGTACCCAAACAAAATAAAAATGGATCTGGTTGGACGTCAGGTTAATCGCCAAAAACACTGAGTCATACAGAAGTTATAGATTAGTTATAGAATATGTGATCCTTTATATGTTCATCCTTTTCTGAGTCCATAAATGGTCAGTCACTTCCGGATGTATCCAGGACGTGTCAGAGCTTGTTATGCGCAGCTGCAATGCTAAAGTCCACCACCAATGGCCGATGATCCGAGAGCGTCGCTTGAGCATCCTGCGGGCGTTGCGCGTAAGTGGAGACGACTTCAGCCAGCAAAATGATGATTATTTAGCCACAAAATAATGATCAAACAATAGGATATAACCGATAAAACCATCAAAAAACAAGAACAACAACAACAACAACAAGAACAAGAACAAGAAGTACAAGTATCAAACGTATTCAAACGTATTCGATTCAAACGTATTCAAACGTGAGGATAAACCAACAAATTTGGGGATGCAACTAATCAAAACAAGGATTAGGTGATTCATGATGAAACCATTCTTTGAGGTGAAAAAATAGATCACCGAGACAGGTGGACGAGGCCACCAGTGATGTAGTTCAATCCCCGGGATGTGGCCATGTGCAGGGGACTGGTGCATACTGGTGCCATGGAAATTGATATGTCACATGAGTCACATGCAAATGGAAATTGATTCATTAGCTGACTACATCACTATGTAGTCAGCTCTCATCACTGCACCAGGCCCAGCAACATGTAGGGGAAGTACAAAGGGATACTGGATGTACCTTCCATTTCCTTTCTATGTTTCCATTAGTGTTCAAGTGCCTGTGCCATTTGAATTCCCATATCTGCTATCATGTGACTGGGGAAGCTCATTTCGTGGAATTCGTAGCTCCTTGGCTCTCCATTTCTTATTGAGAACGCGGAAGCAATCATAGCTCTCAACCACCCCCTCCAAACCCGGAAATTACGAGGGAGGAATGCCAAACAGTTGAGTCAAGTCTCGTCTCCCCAGCCAGTGCTGCTACCTCGGTCGTTGTTGCCTTTGGCCGAAAAGGCCTCATACACCATTCTTCTCGGTTTCTAAACACATCAGTCAGCTCAAATGGGAAGAGCAGCAACATCAAAAATTGATTAAAATAGATAAACATAGCCGACACAAGCACCTTCAAGCAACATCAATTGCCATTTGGTTATTTAACATAGCCATGGAAGATTGCCCATTTATAGATGGTTCACCTATTAAAAATGGTATGTCAATAACAAGAAGACTAGAAAAACTCATCAACATCCCATGGGCCCGTGGCTGGCTGCATCCCAGAGTCTCCATGGCACATCCAACGGCAAATCGTTTGGATGTAGAAACGCCTCCTGAAAAAAACGCCATTGGGGGACGGAACGGGACGGATCAGAAATTCCCCGACCACAGAAATTGGTGATGGCTATAGACTATAGCATGAACAATCCCATTTTAGGTGTGCCCAAGTTTCATCATATATGATCATTATTTCATATGATGTTCTCCTCCTTTCTAAGATGCTACCAATTCCATCAAAATCCAATGAAAACAAACGCACGAGTTTGCCAAAAGTAAAAGGATATACCATGATATACTGATATACCCCCAAAATCCACTGATTGATTAGCATCTCCCTCTACTCATCGGCAATAAAGTGGGGGTGTGGGCATGCCCCGTTATCAGGGGACGGGGGTCACATTCGCCCCTACCCCAGGGGTCACATTCGCCCCTACCCCACTATCCTTCCCATTGACTGTGTCATTCAACCTTTTAGGGTAAGACCTGGGGACAAGGGACTTTAGGGGGGACTGGGGAAAATTTCGGGGGGACTTGGGGACGTAGATTAAGTCACTTCCCACACTATTGGATATGTCACTCAACCTTTTAGGGTAAAACCTGGGGACACGGAATGTTATGTTGAAATGGATGTTTCAACGTAGCATCCAGAGCGTCCAGGAAGTTGATTGAAATGGATGTTACAACGTAGCATCCAGAGCGTCCAGGAAGTGGCTTGAAATGGATGTTACAACGTAGCATCCTGAGCGTCTTCGAAGTTGATTCAAATGGATGTTTCAACGTAGCATCCAGGGCGTCCAGGAAGTGGCTTGAAATGGATGTTACAACGTAGCATCCAGAGCGTCTTCGAAGTTGAGTCAAATGGATGTTTCAACGTAGCATCCAGAGCGTCCAGGAAGTTGATTGAAATGGATGTTGGCACGTAGCATGCACAGCGTCTTGGAGTTGCTTGAAATGGATGTTATGTTGCAACGTAGCATCCAGAGCGTCTTCGAAGTTTTTCACATGGGTGTTACAACGTAGCATCCAGAGCGTCCAGGAAGTTGATTGAAATGGATGTTGGAACGTCGGGTCCACAGTTCTTGGAGTTGCTTGAAATGGATGTTATGTTGCTACGTAACATCCAGAGCGTCTTCGAAGTTGCTTCAAACGGATGTTACAACGTAGCATCCAGAGCGTCCGGGAAGTTGATTGAAATGGATGTTACAACGAAAATTCCAGCTTTTTGGAGTTGCTTGAAAGCGATTTTCCAACATAACACGTGAACATGACTCTCTGAGGTGGAAAAGATCATTTCCAGGCTCTGAAACTATTGCGCCTGCCACACAAAAGCAGGGGTCACATTCGCCCCTACCCTAGGGTCACATTCGCCCCTACCCCCAACTGAGGTAGGGGCAAATGCGACCCCACATGAGGTAGGGGCAAATGCGATCCCCGTGCCCGTTATCAGACACGCCTGTGTATCACTAATTATGAAATGTAGTAAGCCCAACCATAAAACTCCAATTGGCAAGGTTTATATAAACGCCCTGTTTTTTCAGATTAAACTGAAGGGGTTGTTTATGGCATCGGGCTTACCATACATAGATCTTATAATATCTAAAACTTTGAACAATCCAATATGTCCAATTTATTGATGATGACTATTCATGGTTAATTTAACCATTTATCTCCCACGTCAAAAACGCCAAAAACAAAACGTCGATCTTCAGCTTTCCAAGCGTCGTGCAGTTGCAGTCCGGAGTGTCCCCTGAAGAGCACCTTAGTTGGAAGTTGCTCGGCCGGCGATAAAATGGGATGAAGCTACCCATCTGAATCCGTTGGTTGGGATCATCACAACTGTATTCAGCTGCGATATATGTGATATCTATATTTTATAATGGTATATCTTAGCTGAATCCCAAAAGCCTCCAGGGCTTCTGTCTATAGGAGCTGACGAGGGGGTACGTATACATATCCTAAGTGGCCGCGCATACAAAACATATGTAAAACTCATATGAAACATAGATTTTTACGTTGGTGGAACGTATGTGATGCGTATGTGAAGCGTATGTGCAGCGCAAGTGAAAACATATGTGAGCCGTATGTGAAATATGTGTGAAACATATGCGAAATACATGTGACATATTAACGTATTTTGGAACTGGATTGCGTTGTGTTTATGTTTTACTTATGTATACGTTTGCGAATTTATGTGTTATTTTTATGTCGGAGGAAAAATAAGACCTTATTTTGTGCAAATCACACAAAATAAGGCCTTATTTTGGAACGCACGTAAAGAAAACATAAACAAAACGCAAACGAGAACGCAAACACATTTTGTAACGTTTGTGTTTGTACATGTGTATATGGTTTATGTTTTATTTATGTCGGGAGAAAAATAAGATCTTATTTTGGGCAAATAAGGCCTTATTTTATCGCTTACGTAAAAGAAACGCAAACAGAAACATAAAGAAAACAGCTAGTAGCCGCAATTTCTGGATATGTCGGGAATATGCGTTTTGTTTGCGTATTTGAAGCCGTTTATGTATGCGTATGCGCAGGCCAGTCCAAGACGGGCTCTATTGTGAAAGCCTTTGAAACCCTGCTAAGGTATATCAATATATTAAATTATATGTTACATATTACATATTATATATATATATTGTATATACATATATAATAATAATAGTAATAATAATAGTAATAATAATAACAATAATACATTATATAAAAATGTGTATATATGTATCAACTAGAAACTAGCAGAAGCATCGAAATCATCCCAGCTGTGGTCTGGAAAAATCAACTAGTAGAAGCTAGCTGTGAATCCAGTGGAATAGACTTGCCTGTTGAGTAGTGCCAGAGACGTTGAATCAATTGAATGCTGCATGTTTCAAGCCATGAAATTTATGGATCAATTTTTAGGTCGTTTGACTTCACTAGAAATGGTGAAATGCAGAGCGATCTCATCAGTTTGTTGTTTCACCCTGTCCTGCCGAAATTTCCCGGAACAACATGTACACAGAACATTGACAAATGCACACACATGCACACACACACACATATATATATATATACACACATACACACACACACATATATATATATATATACATTCGCAGTTTGTCTATCTGTCCATCCATCTACATCTCATGAGCGAAAACAAAGACTGCAACAGCTGAGGCAAGCGGCATAGTCAGCACAGCCATCTTGCGCGTAGCTGCAGGTGTGGGAGATGGGTCTCACTCCTGGCAGCCAAGAAATCGCCATCCCAGGTACAGAAATCGCCATCCCAGGTACAGAACTCATCAGAAATCTTGAGGGGTTCTTAACTTGGGTTGCTATGGGATTGCTATGTGATTTTTTACACAAAATCCCATCCGTCTTTACCCCAAATTTAGACCAAGAACCCACACAAGTTCCATAATTTCATATAATTTCCATTAATTTCCTGGTTTCATCCCGGTCTCCAACTCGTTTTTCTCCCAACCCTAAACCCCGCTCCTGGATGCCTGGCATGCAAGGCGGAAGCGAAGCCTTGTTCGAAGGCCATGGTCACGGGACGGTTCACCATCTCAGGCCTGACCCGGGGTCCCGACTGGATTTGGACAGGCGAAAACGGAGTCTTTTTACATGATATCATGATAAAGATTGATAATCCTCAAAATATGACTGGATACATGCATGATATGATGTTTATGAATGTTGATGTGTGTTTTGTTTGTTAAATGTATATCAAGTAAAAACATGACTAAATGTGTATATATATATATATCTTTTAATATTAACTATTGAAGAAATGTGTGTGTGTGTGTGTTTGTGCATGTGCGGTTTTCTGTTTATGTGCTGAGTTTTGGCTGTAAGCAATTGTAACCTGAACATCTTCTGTGGCCATTGTACCGGACATCACTGGTTCCACGTGCTCAAACGCAGAATGTTAAAATCACCTGCTGCATCACCACTCAAACATGTAAACAACAAAGATCACATTGGAACAAAACACTTCATAAACTTCAGTACTGACGATCATGGTCGGACTGGTCGGACTGGGCTCTTGCTGTCACTGCAGGTGACCGGCGAGAAGGACTGATAAACAAGTAATTATACCTATACACATATATAATCATATGTAGATATGTACATATAACAAGTTTGACTGGGTAGTCATTTCCTTGTATATCTTGTATTGATGAACAGCCGACCAAAAGCCTGGATTTAAATGGACTTAATGGGCCTCTTCCTTTTGGGCCCCCTTTCGGTTTTGTGTGTCCGAGCGGCGGATAGGGGCCGGATGGTTCCCGCTCCAAGTGGTCTGAATTCATGTCCTTGGATGGGCGCTGCAAACACACGTGTAAAAAATAGTGAGCATATATGTGTATGAAATTTATCAAAAGTGGTATCTCTTAACCTGAAACCATAACATTCTTAAACCATCCATGTGTTGATATAAACATTGTTAAACCATCATAAGCCAACCATTTCTTGTGGAGTCGATCATTTTCACCCAGGCACTGCACATAGAAACACAGCGTCACAGCATTGCGCAGCGAGAAGCCGATGAAGTACCTGGCAGGGTTTTCTGCGGTTTCCATTCCCATTCCAATCATTCCACCATTTGAAGATGCCTATCAGAGTCTATAGTAACTGTGTTTGTGCATCATAAAAACAATAATCAGCATCATCATCATCATCATCATCATCATCATCATCATCTCATCGCCGTCATCACCATCATCATCATCATCATCATCATCATCCAGCACAGTCTTACAACATGTTACAACATGTATCTATGAATTAACGATAAAAAACAAGGTCATTCCCTACTCATTTGGGATTCAGGGGCATGCGACAGGAACATCTGAAAAACTGTTCAACAAGAAACATATATCTTCAACTAATATGGACAAACAAATTTGATGGTGACTCAAATCCAACAAATGCATACAAATGCATGTTACAAAGGCAGCAGCTGTTTTTTTAAAATTCATGCGTTGCAAAATAAAATTATGGCATTTCGCCTAAGTGGATCTCTATATCTGCCTGGCCACTTCACATGCGTAGCCATATACCCTCTGGTTAACGTAGCTATGAGAAATCACTATTTTAAATAAGTAAATAAATCATAACATGTTCATCGTCTATAAATGCGCCATGGCTTCCATAGCTACGTTCGTCAAAACCGTTACGGGTAACTTATAACTAAGCTATCTGCCACGCCGCTGCCGTGCTCCAGGTACATCCTCGCCTGTTCCATCTGCCGAGGACGACAAAATGGAATGTCATGGCCTTAGTGGTCTCGTCATAGGATCCCAGAATCCCATCACAGTGATACCCTCTGGTTATGTCAAACAGTTTGCTATTGATGCCATGGCCCAGTCAAAATAGTGAGTTTTCCCATGAATAGCATGGGTGGATCTTCCATAGTTATGTAAACGTTTACCAGAGTGATAGATGTGGATATTTAATACTGTTGTTTATAGTATGCGAATATATACCCAACAAAAATATTCCCGTAAAATGGTCAGTTTCGGTATCATTACTATCATTATCATGTACAACCAGTTGCAGCTGCCAATGGTGATGTTGGGCTCTGAAGCAGAAGGAAAGTGCGGAATGACAGCCCTGCATCCCAGCAGCTATTGTCAGCATGCGCAACGGTCAAGTGGGTATTGGCCACCAGTATCCTGGTTCGCAGTTCGCCAAGACTTGAACCCAGGTCATGACAATTTTCTTTAAAAATCAGCCACCCTCTAAATTTCCTAATTGTTATATACATTATCCATACATTTGCTGGCATGTTTCCACCATTTACATCATGAACGAAACCATGATGAACAAAACAAAGGTTTCGTTCATGATGTTCATGGTGAATGCCAAAAGCAAAGATGTTAAACACAGCAACTCCAGTGCAGCTTCAAGGGATGGATGCCACTTCACATGACTCGACTGCACCTTGTTTCGAAACCAAGTATAGGTTTCTTCATTTAAAATTGTGAATGCACATGTGTTCATGCATTTCAATCACATTATATAAGATATAAGTGTCTATCATAGAAGCAACAACACATTATTACATAACGTATGTGTTTCCAGGGCTTTTCAAAGGATTTGCCCCACCACACTGCCCACATCTTCGCGCAGGCACGGGATGCCAGGTGAACGTGAATTGAAATGACAATGTTAAGTCTTACATAAAGTATGGACATAGAAGTTTGAGTATCCGTACCAGATTATACTACATTCATGCACATATATCTTTATATACATTCTATACATGAAACACTCCCACTTTCCTCCCACGTTCACGTGTGACCTGCAGCCACTGTCCACATGTGTGAGCTTGGCATACATGGCGACTCGATCCTCAGCTGGCCATGGGGACATACCACCAAAATTGCATGTGTTTAAACAAAATGGAAGACAAAACAGTAGATCTAGGGATACTACAGTTTCAAACAAACAGAAATATGTTGGAACTATCATTTCCTCACCCTTTTGGGGGGTTTCACGCTCTGCATGTGCAGCTGAAAACTGTCAAGGAACACAAAAATCGGGTTCCAATTCTTCACACAAAACCTGGCGCCGGCAGAACTGCAGAAACACACGGCAAGAAACAACAAAGAATAACGTCAAACCGAATTGCACCTCTCCCCCTCATTATGAGAAATACATGTTGTACATACATGCAATACGTGTAATATACCTATCGGAATTACCAATTTAGAGACCATTGTCCTACTATGTCAGTTGCTTTTTGTTTTTAATTGAGTCATACTTCTCAATGGACAGTACCTAACTGGGCTTGGTTTGGAAAGCTTTTGGGCCAGTATTCGGGGGCAACCCATGGTTGCTTTGGAACTACTCCCTCTTTAGGCAGGAACCACCTGAATTATCTGCCCACATATTTGATTTGTCATGTAGGAATCTTAATGGTGTGTATTTCAAAGAACAATACTATGATATAGTCATGTTGGAAAATCAATCATCAACATCATCCACTAAGGAGCGAACAACGAAGATATTGAAGTCAACAGCCAAGGCAAACCTTACACATCAAAACCATCTAGTCATTAGTCATGCATGCAGGAATATATACCATCCATATATGGCAAGTGGTGTTGGCACGTCTAAGGGGGACCATTTCTCATGGCTGAGTGTATGTACCATGCACATCTATGCACAACAAACCAGTGTGACTTTTACATGGATAGCCCGTAGCCCTCCCCCAAAAACAACACAAAAATCAATCCATAAACTAACCTGGTTGGTGGTTTTAACCATCTTGAAAAATATGAAAGTCAATGGGAAGGATTATCCCATATACTATGGAAAATAACCACCAAGCAGACTAACATAACTGAAGCTTCGAGAAAACTACCATGGATTTACATGGCGGACCATCAACCAGTCGGTTTATCATGGCGTACCCAGATCTACAGCTTAAATCTGACTGTGCTGCACACAAAATGCATATCTATATCTATATCTACATCTATATACATACATGTGTATAGTCATATATGTGTGTGTGAGTCTATATATATACAAATACAGATATTACAGTATGTATATATTGTTGGTTGCTGGTAGTTGTACCCGGCATAAAAGTCTACCCCAGAAGCTCAATCCCCGAACGGCTGTAAAGTGCATGCCTCCATGTTGGTGTTTGAAACCTGTTTGTGACATTAAACCTCCTGTTAGTTTAATGGTATCTTGACATATTTTAACAACTATCGACCCATATAACCAGTTTCCAATCAGTTGCCAGCCCGGGGGGGTGAACCACCAGCCTTACCCAGCTCTCAGTTTTTTGCGCCCGAAAAGCGCCTCTATATCTTTGAAGGCACTGCGTCGGATCAGCATCGCCAAGCCTTCGTTTTTGTCGCCCGTTCCTGCGGCCACCAGCGGCAAAACCCCTGGGTGTTTGGGCAAGATGGCTGCGATGGAGGACAAATTGCAACAGCACTTGTGACCCTCATACAAAAAATGAAGGGGGTTGGCCAAGGGTGAGCCACGCGTACAGTATGTATATTGAAAAAAATACATTATATTTGCATAATTTTGCATAAACCAGTAACCCACCGGGAATCGATCCGCCAATGAACACAAAACATTGGGCAATTCAGTGTTTCTCTGATAGAGAAAAAATAAATAAAGCTATAAATAGATATATTTATTTATTCATTTAGTAATATATGTGATTATTATACATATTATATATATACGGAGTTCATTTGTGTCATCTTCCCACAACTGGACTATTGAATCTCGTTGGGTTTTACCCACATTGACAAAAACATGGGTCAAACGTACCTAACGTGAGAGAAACACCAACAAAACCAGTTCGGTAGAAGCACCAACAAATGGCTACATTCTAACGGTGGACTCACATGTTTGGAATATTGCCGACGGTTGCCCTGCAATGAAGTAACAACGGTTGCAGATCATTTGGGAATCCCAGGACTTCATTTTGGCTTATTGGAAAGTAACATCACAACTTTTAGTCCATTGTTAGGTATACAAATATGTCCTATGAAAAACCACATGCTTTTGATTCCATCCTCATTGTTCAAAGCATAATCCATGATATCACAGCTTTTGTTGGCTAAACATCCATCTTTTGTTGGATAAACCCCTGGGTTTAGATCACTTGTTGTTTCCCTCCCACGAAACAACAAGCGTCTTTGCTTCATGTGCAGCTCGTATACTTCACCCAACTTCTTCCTCGGCGACGCGAAGCATGATTCCCTCCAGAAGGAAATACATGCAAATATGGAAAAATCATTGTTTTCTCCAAGGTTTGAATGTTGTACAGGTGGGTCTCACATATCTATTTATCTAGTTTTCTTTCTTTCTATCCATCAATCCAGCCATCCATCGATCTATCTATTATCTATCCATCTATCCATCTATCCATCTGTCTATCTATCTATCCATCTGTCTATCTGTCTATCTATCTACCTATCTACCTATCTACCTATCTAACTATCTACCTATTTTTGTATCTATCTATCTATCTATCTATCTATCGATCGATCCATCCATCCATCCATCCATCCATTTATCTATCCATCTAGCTAACTATCTATCTAATCTAGCTGTGTATCTATCTATCTAATCTAATCTAATCTAGCTGTGAATCTATCTATCTAATCTAATCTAATCTAGCTGTGAATCTATCTATCTAATCTATCTATCTATCTATCTACCTACCTACGTAGCTGTCTGTCTGTCTCTGTCTGTCTCTGTCTGTCTCTGTCTGTCTCTGTCTGTCTCTGTCTGTCTCTGTCTATCTATCTTTGTATCTTTGTATATATCTATATTGCGTTCTTTGTTTATGTTGTTATCTGTCTTTCTTTCTTTCCATCAATCTCTCTATCTATACGCATGATTGCACATGAAATATAATGTTGGTTTACTCGAGAGTAAACGCGCATGATGAAAAACAACATATTCTGAGGTGATCCAAGGCAACTGGCGCCAAGCCATGGATGATTTCCAAATGGTAAGACACAAAAGAGCCCAAAATAGCATTGATAAATTAGCATGTCTAATATTGTAATTAAATGATACTTACATTGTGATTAGCATAGTTTAATTAATCAATGTTTAGTTCAACCAACATTTCCGCAGTCAATATTACCATAATGAACTTGATTTGATAATTTTAACACTATTTTTTGGACAACTAGCTGTGTAGCTTTCGCTTCCATGTCAAGGGCTCATGGAGGAAACTACGCCGGACCCAGGCCTCTTGTCATGAAGATCCCACATAAGCCCACTACCATCACCCTGAGCTAAGCATCCATCCGACACCATGCTTTGCCAAGAAACGATGTCAGACATGTTCCATATCTTTGGTATAATTTACTGGACAGTAAGAGCCATTCAGAAAACTCCAGAAACCCTTCAGAAAAGCCGGGTGTCTGATACAAAACCGCGAATCCGTGCGTTCCAGCTGCGAAGTCAAACTCCTGCAGGCAAATCACGTCCTGAATGCCGTGCATTGCTGAACGTTGATGCCCTGCCCATCCCCTCCATCGCTAAACAAAGGTTGATCCCAGTTGGGAGGGCGTGTGAAAAAATGCTAACCGAAGGGGCAAACAAATATCACTACCCTCTGGTAAACTAACATAGCTATTAAACATGAACCATTTATAGGTGATTTACCCATTAAAAAAATGATGTTCCATAGTTATATTGGTTTACCAAAGGGTAGGCTTTTGTCACTATTTTGCCAGACACAACGCCAACCACAACGTCCAGTTTCGCCAAGGAGCTGCCTCCAGCTGCAGCAAGCAATCGCAAATGGCGGCGTGGCGCTCCTGGGAAGAAATTGCCACGCGACCTGTGATGAGTTGCATTTATAGCATCGGATAGCCACTGCCAAAAAGATAGAAAAACAAAAAAAAACATAAATCATGAAATCCCACTCACAAATAAATGAATGAATTACTGTACTTTTCAATTTATTTGGGCGTTACTATATAATATATATATATATGTATATATATATATCCTACTATTGGTGTTGGCGGCTTAAGAATGTTTACTTCGATCCCTTGTTCTGCATCATATTGCCTGGATCAACTGCTTGATGATGGTCAAGACCCAACATATTCCCACTTCTTGTGGCTTTCTCTGAGCTTTACATGTCGATATCATCGATGCCATGAGTTGAACATGGAATGAGCACATTGGTTAAAACTGGTTAATACTCGGAACATCCCCATTGGAAGCAAAGAATCAATTGTTGATGGGCATATAGAGGGTCACATATAGGCACATGGTATGAGGCACCCGTACTTTCGAAGTAAAAACTATAGTGATTTGAAACATCCTCATGCATATAGCCTGCCATGCAAGAAGTCCGTCCCACCATGAATGTGGTGGTTTTGAACTGAACGGCAAAGAGCTTGGATAAAACCTTCTCATGACCCAGTGAAACCAGTGCTTCATTAGGGCTACATCACAACCACTAATGACCGAGTCCTTAATTTCAAGCTGCATATGGGCTGACTTTGCAACGCCAAAGAAACTATCAACAAAATCAGCGCATGGCCGGACTGTTGATTCACGAGTCATATATATTCCATAACCATTGCCGGTCCCCCACATTGACTGGTTCAAATATGTTTAAATCACTGTTTCCAACCTCCCCGCCCAACGGCAACGGTAACCACTCCTGCCAGGGTCTTCGATTCAACGGCGCGCAAATCCGCGCCGAGGGCGCCAGCACGTTGAAGCTGCAGAAACGCAACGCCATGGGACACGTTTCGGACGCGTTTCGGACACACGTTGCGTGTTGCGGATCTGATGGAATGGTCCGACGTGAGCCCTGAAGGGGGCAAAAGAAGAGAATCTATACTATATGATTTCAGTCTTTCTAGCAAAGTAATTACCTATATTCTCAAACTCTCACAGCTGTAAAATCTTTTGAAAAATAGCATCTTGGGCACTTGGGGGATGATTTTTTTTAAAGAAAGGCGGGATCGGCAGCTTCAGTGTGGATTCTTTACGCGGCCATTGCCGCAGCGAGGACCTCTTGCAAGCTGCTCACAGGATAATCAGAATAGCTGAGCTCAATGGGTTCCATTCCAAAAAAAAACACAATACAAATATGATCTGGCAAACCCAATTGATCAATTGTGTATGGTAAACCATCCAATTTTTAGCAAAGCCATCCATTGGTTTGTCCTCTTGGTTGCCAACTATCATGCAAGCTCTTGGGGATCTGGAACGTTGGTCATCTGCTTTCATGCCTGTTGGCTGCGGCAGAACAATGCTTCGGATTCCAACGTTTCGGCAGCAGGAACCCCTGGCTTTTTCGTAGACTTCTCTGTGAAATCATGGGGGACGCCTTTTTCCTTATCACAGCCAATCCATTGGTTCAACAAGTTACTATGAGCCTTAAGCCTTGGCCTGATTCACTTTTCCCCATCATTTTCGGGCGGTTTTTGGTATTTTACGTAGAGGGCCAGGACCTGGCTGATTGTGATTTTCTACAGGGGGTCTCAGCCCCATTTTACCACGATTGGGGTTGGTTAATGTTGGTTGATGTTAGTTGACTGATTCTTGCCCATGTCAGCCAACTGGTGAACTCCAGTTCAAGCTGGCCCATTCTACTTTGGGTCATCCTAGTCCACCTTTTGGGTGATGAATTTCCATATTTTTTGAACGTAAAATCAACTCAAGATCAAACGTATCTATCAAATTGCTGGTTACATCTATTGTTTTCACCGGGGAAGTAAAACCCTGAAAAAAGATGTAGTGATTCATCAACCTGAAATAGCCGGCATTTCTTGGGATAGTCAAAAGTGACGCTGCGCATCGCAACATCGCAACATCATCATACATCATCCATCCGGAAAATTCCAAAATCCCAATGGTTTCTGCCCGCCTTCTGATCCGCCTTCCAGCGTTCCGAGTTGTTCAAGAGCTTCAGCTTCAAGCGGCCCTGGACAGCGGTTTTCCTAATCTTGTATTTGTGAGTTATATGTCGATATATATATATACATATAGATAGATATAGATATAGATATATAATCATGTTTCTCGTTGTTGTGCTATATAATCAATGTTTAATACAGTTATATAATTAATAATATATTTGTTCTCACAGACTAATGAGTGCATTATTAGCATTATAGCAAAGGCGCAGACAAAGGGTACGCTGACACCTCAGAGTAGTGATGACATGCAATTTCATCCCACTTCTAGTTGATGCTATAGCGCAATATAGTAGCGGATGCTTTGCTGCTTAATGATGTCATAGTGAAAACCGAGTGAAAACAGTGTGCAAAATATCCTGGTCCAAACTTTCTGTTTACTTATATATAATGATTGCCGCTCAGGATAGCCCTTTTTCTAGCTTGAACCCCTTCCATTACCTTGTTTTGATTCGGAAAATCATCTACCGATACCGTTTAATCGTGTACCGCCTTAGATCCCCAACCAGCATACGAATCATTCAACTTGAATGGGTGTAAGTCCAAACAAGTTTGGAAGGTAATAGGTCCAAATGTCTGCTGGTTAAATTCAACAAAACACTGACAAAACATGGTAAATGGTAAGGTCACCATTTGTACACATGAACATTCTGAAAAATGCATTAAAGTTTGGTTACAGTGCCCATTGAAATGGTGTGAAATCATGTCGGATCCTTAGGTTTGTTGCTGCAAAATATCCATCGAATATCCATATTTCTGATGGCTCCCGAATATCTCGCTGTCCCGATTTTTTTTGATCCCGAAAAAAAATGTTGACCCCTATCCCAAGATCTCAGGCGGTCGTCGCCTGCCCTTCCTTCTCACCCAGGGAGGGCCGTGGGGCCAAGACGGCGCCCAAGAGCATCAGCCTTGGGTGGCGTGAAAATCGGATCAGCGAATTGAGATTGGATGAGGTTAGTTAAATCAAAGTGACTGCAGTGGATTTATCTTCAAGGTATAGTTGTTTCTCCCTAGTTTTCTGTAAAATTTACTTGGAAGTCCTAATTTGGCAATGATCGGCATCTTTAGTGGATATGTTTCCCTGAGACTCCAAGGTCCAAGATATCCTGTACGCCAAATCTGAGATGTCAGATTTCCCAAAATAGATCCAAATTGGTGACCACACATGTGTGCAATGTGAGGATTGATGTATCTAGTCTGGTCGGTTGGTTGGCTTTGTTGGTGGGATCTAGTTCAATAAAATATGTTTATTCAATCTGATATTGGAATAGACATCATACCATTCATTGAATATAAAAATGCCTTATTTGTTGGTGGGATCTATTTCCATTTCATTGGAATCATGTTTCCAACTAATGGTTAAACAACTGCGCATTCAAATCAATAATGTTCTGAAACATGAATATCCCGAGGTTCCCTTACGAATCTGGAAGCTACCTTAAAAGGATTCCGAAAATGGACCATGTCACTGACCATCTTCGAATATGGATGGGAATTACTATGAGTTCAAGGCGTGTGCTGCATCATACTCTTCCAGCATTCCCGGGTGCTCTCCGATATTCACTGGGTCAGAACACTTCTTTGGGCAGTTCGTTGGATCACATCCACTGCCTTACTGCCTCCAAGGGCACAAAGGCTACATAGGCTAGCGCTTTCCACGAAGCTCTTAGCCACCACGTGGCTAAGGGGTAGCGGGCTCCTGTAGGTGCCTCGCTCATCCCCAAGACAATTTTGAATACGAATTCCACGTTTCCTGCGAGGGTTGTGTGATGATTAGCGGGAAAGTTACTCATTTGGTCGTCGTTATGCATCCAAATGATTTTTCCACGCGTTTCTCTGAACTTGACAGTGGGTTCTGCCATGGATGCAAATCCCTGAGTGTTGATGATCGCCTTTGCGTAGTTAGTGCCAGTTTGTATCCATGATTGCGGTTTATGTGTTCAGTTTTGGTGCATCTCAATCACTTATTGATAGTATAGCTACTCAACGTATAGTATACTAGTACCCGTTTAATGCCATTAACTATATGTATTGGCGAAATTCCCTTGCAAAGGCACTACATTGACCTCATGTTAGGTAATGTGACAAACCACGTTTAGGACATGCCACATTGCATAAGCTGAAACAATGGGGGATGGTTTAAAGTTTGGTCTACCTCATTCCTAACCCTAACCTCTTTAAACAATGAACAAAATAACCAATTTAGGTTGGTTGTAACCAACGACTATACATGTCCAAACAATATCAAACAATGGAAGTACTGGATCAGCGCCAGCGGCCGCGCTGCAGTGCAATTTGGCCCCCTTAATTGGTAAGGAAACCTCCAGTATAGATTGACTATATGGAGGATATATGAACGTATATGATAAACATCATCAATACATATCAATACCGTAAACGCAATCATTCAACGGAAAGTTGTTCCTTACCAATCTCTTCCACACATTGTCCACAGAACATACGCCGCTCTACTCGGACCCTTGGACCCTTGGACCCGGACCCACCCCCGAGGCAGTTGAAACTGGCCACCATGGCCCAGTGGTGCCACACGAGCACCCCCAAGCCACTCAACCTGGCCACACGGCGATGAATCAATGGATAAAAAACGGGTGGCCAATTAAAAACACATATCTCTGTTTTTGGAATTGGAGGATTGGCACCAAAGAAACATATCTTGATGAAATTTAATTATATATAATAAGACTATGTAAATATGCAATGAATATCTTATCACGGCTAGAGTTACACCCAAGATCACCCACATACGTGATGTTTTTGATTTGTTTAAATCCCTTGCCCAAAAAAAAGGAAACAACACACAACTACCACTCGTTGGAACTAAAAATGCAAAACACTAACAAGACTTCCCGTGCCATCGAATACCCATTCAATGCCTATAAATACCTATAAAACACCCAAATCACCACTTGGTTTGCCCCCACTATGGCCCATCATCCTGCTTACCCTTCGAACTGGAAAGGCAAAGCTGTGGGCGAAGACTGCGGTGCGAAACATTAATGACACGTTGTGGGGGTACTTAAGAATGTCCTTTGAATAGCGGTACGAAGATGAGAAGGGTAAACATATATCACATATTGTAGAAAAACTAACTTGGAGCCAACCTTTGAAACAACCATGCTCCAGCGGCACATGATGCCCTAGAGTGAGAATCATGTCCCAGAAAACTTCCACGAAGCCATCTCTAGGCATACGGCCTGTTGCTATGGGCCAAAAATGGCAAAAGCACCGGCCATATTAGGTTGGAAAGAACATGTTTGAACACTTTCATAGATATAAACGATAGTAATTCCAATTCAATGGTTCCGTGAAAATGCCAAACACAGGAGATTTGGCTGCCTCGAAGTTTGGCATGTTCAATTGTGACTATTCATAACCCCGTCCAACTATAGATATACCCATCAATACCCACCATAAAGATCCATAACGATCCATAAAGTATAGTTCTTCCAAACCCATTTACCTATCGTTTGGGGGCCCCTGAAGGGGCATCTTCCCCTATCGCAGCCACCATCCCTGCCGAGGCAGGAACGCAAGCGCTGCACTCGCAGCAGTTTTGGCCTCCCCCGGGATGATGGGGATTACCCTCCAGTAAATTATTATAGACCCTGCCAGATAGGGGTTGGAACATGAGTTTCCACTAAAAATTGGTGATCTTCAGGGTTTATGTTATTTTACCAGAGGGTAAGTGACCATTGATGGGTCATTTTTTACAGACGCGACGCATCGCTACGCGCATTGTATGGCCTAAGGGTGGTCCAATCTGGTCCCAGGATCCCATTACAGTGATAGATGTGGATATTCAAATATATTTAATATCTGGTTGGTGGTTTGAACCTACCCCTCTGAAAAATGATGGAGTGAAAGTCAGTGGGGGTGATGAAATTCCCAAGATATGGAAAGTCAACAAATTCATGTTCTAAAGCACCAAACAGTTATGCTTTTTGGGGGACATAACTCGTGGGACTTTATGTGGCTCCGATTAATGGGTATAGAAAATCATGGAATATAGTGCATTACCTGGCCGGTCTTACATACCCTGCATTTGTAGCTGGTTCGTACACATCTCCATGTTAAATGCGTAACAAAAGAGTAGAGTATTAACCTTTAACAGTATCAAGCTATTCAAGGTAGGCCAGTTCTGTGGATAGACCGGCAACAATATGGAAATTCAACTATGGAATGAGACAAGGCAATTGCCTTTTGGTGAGCGCATTCTCGTTCTTCAGATTTGAGGCGCCACGTCCTAAGTAATTGTGGGGAAATCCCCGCAGGCTTTATTTTCACTCTGACCAAAGCGAGACCTGCCACGGCTGCTTGTCATGCCACTGCTTCTGATCCTTGAGCTTGCGTTCGGACAGATTTCCTTTGGGCCATGGTGTTCTTTCCCAAAAAGGAAATAGTGTCTTTTTCTCACCCAAATTCTGAATGTCCATAGTCCCGGTATCCCAGCGGTCTCCGGTGTGCCACGGCAGGGCACACACTGAGATCTTGATCGTCGAGAAACTGTCTTAGTACGTCTTAGTCGCAGGCACCTTTTTTTGAAGTTGTCTCAAGAACGCCAACTGGGGAACGTTTCAGCATGCACTATACTAATACTTGCAAACTTGCAACTAACTTTAGCTGGGTGGATTGTATCATTACTTGGCAAGTGGAATGACCATCGAAGAAGCTTACAATTTGTTTAAGGATCCTAGTACCATCGGAAAGGGATTTGAATCCTTATATGTGTGGTTTTTTGATAGAACATATCAAAACAATATGTGCACATGTACGCACATAGTCATTCATGATCATGCATTTATGTAACTAATGCGCCTGTGTCATGAGTTCTTCCAAACATAACAAAACATATTTGGCATGGCAGGTTGCAAGCACCTGATACCTTCCCATAAAATGATGTGATTATTCTATGACATGCTTTGATTATCCCATACATGCTTTGTTGAATATGGATGAATATGGGGGTTTCTTAAAATGGGCGATACCCAGTCGTCACCATTGTGACGACTGGATGATTTGGGATGGCCCCATGACGTCTTGGAAATCTCCATGACTTATGGGCGATTTATTAGAATATATCAGTTGCACTAAGATTTGGGAATGTTAACATTTTGCTTTGGTGAATAGCTAAACTAATAAGTATATACAAACCGTTGTCAAAACTCATTGTCTTCGCGAAATTCCCGCAAAAGAAGGGGTTTGCTTTTGGGGGGACGCTATCGCTACCCATGGTTTTGTAAAAAAAGAGGAACGGAAACGAACAGGAAACAAAGAGGAAAGGAAGCTCAACAGAAAGGGAAAAGAAAAGGAAGGAAGAGAAAATGAAAACGACGGAAGAGGAAAGGCAGAGGAAAGGAAAAGGAACAAAGAAAGAAAGAGGAAAGAACGAACAAGGAAAAGAAAGCAGTTTCTGATGATTTTAGGGGTATCCCTAATTTCGCATAATTTCGCCTCTTTTCGCCTCTTGCATGGCAACTCCAGATGTCAACTTCAGATGCGGCCTTCTCTCGAGCCGACTGGCTTTCTTTACTCGCCTGCCAGTTGTCGGGACTCGGCCAGTTGTCGGTGCCATTCGCATGGATTCAAATGGAAAATTAGTATGATTAGTACGGCCATTCGTGTGGCCGAAAGTGTGAAAATCCCGTTGGATTAAAAGATTGGACATGATTGGACATAGAGATTGGATCATACTAGAACACTAACCATAAAGATCTATAAATTGGATCTAATATTTACCATATATTTACCATATTGGATCCGTTGGATTAAACTGACTTAACATAAATCAACTAGACACATAGAGATTATGGATCATCCCAATAGGGGGATCTGAAACCACCAGTGGGGCCAAACGGCCGCCTCTGGCAGTTTCCCATCGCTATGGAAGTTCACGATGTTTAATAATGTGTAATAATAATATAGGTAAAACATCTACAAATGTTCCATTGTCCATAGCTATGTTGGTTCACTATGGTTTACTAGCGGGTAGATCCCCAAAAAAAACTTTCGCCTGGTACAGCTCGCGGGGTGTGAAGGTCTTCCGTGGCCGTGACCCGGGCCTCACAAGGGAGGCGCGTGTTTTCAGCTGGCCAGACAACAACTACTCATTCATTCCGAGAAAATCACTATAGTCATTGTGATCATCAAAGACAGGCAAATGGATTATGAATGATTTTGATATATTTATATTATGATCATTTTGAAAGAAAACGGGGAGATGGGAAGCTGATTTCTTATTGAACATGGTCACAAAAAAAAACAGTCACGGGGTCATCTCTTGGTCAAGGCATGCGCTGAAGCCTATCCCAAATGCTTTACAACTGTTTGGATTGGAATCATGACTGTAACACAAGCAAAGTACAGTACCAAATGGCTTACAGTTGTTGACTCGTTTTTTAAAAATCTGGTTGTTTATGGGCACACTTAGACTATGCATGCATAGACTGTTTACATAACAATGTTGACATGTATTCCGTGTAGGTCTGCGTTGACAGGGATGTCTGACAAGACGATCTGGCCCAATTTATTGCATACCCTGAGTCTGAGGTGTATTCATTTTTCCCGGGAGCATGTTCACACATGTACTGGAGCAGAATGGGATTGTGGCACTTATCTACGTATTGGATCAGACTGAATATAACATGGTCTTCCACCCGCAGCAATTTGAAGCATAATCTACAGTATAACAATGCAGAACGACCACGAGAAAAGGCTCCATTGCCTAATTTTACGGTTTGAGGGGCGTTGCACAAAATATGGTTCTGTCTAAGCATGAGGCAGTCCCACAGTTGAAATTCGAATGGGGGAACTTATGATAAACCATGCCTTGTTTTGGGGTACCCTAGTAGTGGACGAATCCATATGTGCCATGGTCAAAACATGGTTGGTGTGTGGTATGGTCATCCATCCCGTTATGGGACTCCTTTAGCTGATCATGGCACAACATATTATGGATAAACGGACTTTACTTGGAGGATCATCCCACTTAGTAAAGTCCCCGGCCTAACTGGGTAATCCCGCTTATAACTGGGTAGCCCCATTTACTAACCAGTTACCACTTACTGTAACCCCCATCATAGCGCCTTAAACCAAATGACCCCCCGCCTGAAACCCACTAAACCCCATTAACTAACTCCAATTAAACCTTGTAAGCGTATTAAAAAGTGTTACCATCTGGTTATGCAACATAACCATGGAAAATCAACATTTTTAATAGGTAAACCATCTATAAATGGGCCATCTATACCATGGCTATGTTAAATAACATAAATAACCAAAGTGTTAGCTTATCAACCCATGAGCTGTACACGTGGGGTGAGCCCACTGCCGCGCATGGTCTACTGGATCCGTTGGGTGCCGTGAAACCAGCTCGACCAAGTCACTCTTCTCCAAATCCTGCAGGTGAAAGCTTCCTGCTTTTGATATAACTGGAAGGGACTGTGGGAAAACTGTTGTTTCATCGATTTTGTTCATGCGGTTTTTCTGATGTTCCAGCATCTTTGAGCTGCTCATCGCGTGATACTGGGGTTGTGAGGCAAAGAATTCGATCTCTGACATGCAAAGGTCATGCCAAAAGCGTGTCAAATATATGGAGTTTCCCTTCAGTCATCTGATCTGGCCTTGAAATCCCAGTCAGCTGAGAGCACACAGGCCAATCATGAAATCACAATCATTCACGATAGCTCACAAATGTTCAAAGATATCAACTATTCCATGACCCCCCAGGTGTAGGTGTGCCTTTTGCAATTGTATCGTGGCTTCAATTCACATTACCCACAGCACTCTAGCTGTCCAAATTATCTGCAGTGCCAAGAAAAACTCAACTTGAGCCGTTAAAAATTCCCCTACCCCATTATACTAGTTGTTTGATAGGTTTCTCATGGTTTCCCTACTATGGGCTACAATAATACCCATTAAACCAGGTAATTAGCATATCAGTTCCAATTGGTTTTTATGTTTACTCTAGTATATTACTAGCATAAACATGGTCATATGAGTGTATTCCTTCATAATGCGTATCAATGAACGGTATGTTGCATGGCTCACTGTCACTTGGGACCTCAGGCAACTTCATGGTCATGGGCTCATAGACCTGGCACATAGCATGGTCCTGAGATAGTTTCCACATGACGGATGTGCATCTTTTTGGCATGCCTATCTCTTAGACAATAATTAATCTGTATACACTTTAAAGAATTATTTTTTTCAAGTTCTAAATGTGTGGCGACCTAAGAATCGCGCAAAACTCATTGCAGGTTTTGCAGTGGGCTCCACCAATCAGAACTGCTTCATATAAGTCTGATCCACCAATTGAGCACCTGCCAGCCTCGCCAGCAATCCATCCGTCCCAGCCTGCATTATGGCCTGCATTGATCTCGGCTACTGCAATTCAGGAACTTCGCCAGGAAGCACAGGGCGAAAGTTGATCGACCCAGCTGCCGTTGCTACAGGTACAGTAAGTATTTTATGTTTGTAAAGCAAAAAAACGTATTTTCATGGTTTATACACAACCCATTTACGCAAGAGTGTCATCCTCGGATAAATCAAACCCAACTATTAATTGACGCTGCAACCCGCCAAAAATAGTGAGAAATTACTATTAAAATTGTAGCCCCCGCAGGAATACACTGGGAGTTTACCATGGTTTATCAATTTTGGGTTAAGTTAACAGTACCAAATATCAGATTGTCGTTTACATATCCCATCATACCGTGATGATTTTACCTTCCGGCAATCAAACGTGGCAATGGGACATCACCAATTTATGATTACTCATTGGGATTTTCCAACCAGCAATGTTTGATTTCTAGAGGGTATATCCCAGTATTATCCCATTATATCCCAATGATACCCCCTCACAAATCCCTATATATTGCCCCCCTTAGAAACCATGGTTTAGTCGGGAATTTCAACATAATTGGGACCATTTATTTTATTTTATTTTATATATTGGGGTGATGGGATTATGATATTCCCAGTGAATGACTAACAATGATTCAATCACCCGACTTTCAAGATCCAGCCCATTCATGGGATCTCATGTCCTTGGCCCTCCTCCGACGCCAGAGTGGCATACATTCCTGCAGCAATCACTGGCAGCCCATTGGCAAGTGAGAAAAAAACATGTCAAAAATGCTGGTTTTGTCTACTTTCTCTATTTAGATATCATAATTATATATATATATACATAATTGTAAAAAATGTGTATATACTTATATATATTAAAAATATATATATATATACATGACTTGATAAGCGTGTATTATATATATACATATATATTATATTGAATGCCTATGCAAATATTCAAAATATATATATATATATATAAAAAAGGTAAAAAAAAAAATAAACAAATAAAGAACATACATAAATAAAAATGTATGTGTATACCATGACCCGGTCGGGGTGGTACCTCGCAGTCGGGGAAGCGCCAGTGGCGTCCGCGAAGAAGTTGGAAATGATCTTAGAAGCAGTTGGGTCTGTCTGAAGATGTCCGTCAACACCAAAATATTATGGTTGATGATCAATTTTGGGATTTATACCCTATGTCCAGGCACACCTAGTTGAAGTTTTGGTGGTTTGTTTCAACCAATGATGAGGCCCAGTGATTTGGGGCTCGGTGCTTTGGAATTTTTGGTGGACCTCATAATTGTGATAAATGAGGTAAGGATCACCTCCGAAAGAAAAACTTGTGGTCCAAATGGGTGGGATATGGTGGGATATGTTGTAAACCCATCCAATTCTCAAAGGGCTAGAAATCAACCAAGAATGTGCATGGCGACAGTCCATCCTGGAGTTTCAGGACATTGGGAACCCAAATTTCCATGATACGGTGCGTGATCGATTTTTTAGTTTATAGATAGATATTGGCCCGAATAAATAACAACACTTGATTAATTTTACAAAGTAGTGAGTTATGAGCTGGTTGTAAATAACATGTTGGTACTATAGACGAACATGAAAATATAGAAATTGTGAACTTGTTAATTTATATTTTTATATAAATGCAAATTACTTTACTTCGTGTGATCCCCACCATGACATTTATACATTTTCTTACTGGCAAATCTTCTGGCATTCTATCTGACATATCTTCTGACATTCTATTTGACATTCTATCTGTCATATCTTCTGGCATATGATCTGGCATATCTTCTGGCATATCTTCTGGCATTCTATCTGGCAAATCTTCTGGCATTCTATCTGGCATTCTATCTGGCATATCTTCTGGCATTCTATCTGGCATATCTTCTGACATTCTATTTGGCATTCTATTTGGCATATCGTCTGGCATATGATCTGGCATATCTTCTGGCATTCAATCTGGCATTCTATCTGGCATATCTTCTGGCATTCTATCTGGCATATCTTCTGGCACTCTATCTGACATATCTTCTGGCATTCTATCTGGCATATCTTCTGGCATATATTCTGACATATCTTCTGGCATTCTATCTGGCATTCTATTTGGCATTCTATCTGGCATATCCTCTGGCATATCTTCTGACATTCTTTCTGACATTCTTTCTAACTTTCTTCTGCACATTCTTTGTCCCATATCTTCCTACATGAGGTCCGGCAGGGAACACTTGGCATGGATACTCGCGGTTGAGGTCCGGCAGGGAACACTGGGCGAGGATGGTCGTGGTTGAGGCCCGGCAGGGAACACTGAGCGTGGATGGTCGTGGTTGAGGTCCGGCAGGGAACACTGGACGTGGATGGTCGTGGTTGAGGTCCGGCAGGGAACATTGGGCGTGGATGGTCGTGGTTGAGGTCCGGCAGGGAACACTGGGCGTGGATGGTCGTGGTTGAGGTCCGGCAGAGAACACTGTGGATCGCGGGTCGCAGTTGAGCAAGGACGACGAGGACGATGAGGACGACGAGGAGGACGAGGAGGAGGAGGAGAGGAGGACGAGGCAGGAGGAGGCGGAGGAGGAGGAGAAGGAGGAGGAGGAGAAGGAGGAGAAGGAGGAGGAGGAGGCAACTGACATAAAATCTAACAACCCTCACCTGGCAGGTGGGGAATCATACATATATATATATATGTAAATACTAGTTATATTGAATATATAAACTAAATATTAAATACAACATGCTATATCATACTATATATATATATATGTGTGTGTGTGTATGTGTGCGTGTGTGTCGGTATATGTATTATATGCATGTATATTATATTTTGTGCCATAAACCATAGAATAAACCTATTTCGCTGGGGGCCGCAGCCTTTGGCCCGAGCTGGGTGCGGAGCTGGCTCCGGCTCTGTGCAAATGGGATCCGTCTGCAGGGAGCGATGGAGAAAATGATGAAACAAACCATTGGACCTTAGGAAAATGCCAAATTTTTAGAGGAAACCCAAAAAATGTTCATAAAATACATGTTTTTTTGACCAAATGCATCTAGATTCTTCAAAACAAACATGTGCAGTGGCTTGAACGTTTCTTTACTAGGAACCTCATCCAAGAATGGATGCCAATGAGAGGTCAGGTCAATCAAACCATGTATCATAGCGCAATGAACCCAAAGCAATATACACAATTTACAAAACCCAACACAGATTGAAATGATGGACGACTTGACGCAACACGAGGATTTACAATGGATCTACCATGATTTACCTATTCCTTCAATGACCAACCCCTTCGTTTTGAGAGAAGACATTGGGAAATGCGGATCCAGCCTATAAGGACCACCAGGAACGAAAATCTGACATATTCATACTCTGGACAAAAAACATGATCAAAATCAAACATGTTTCAGTATATTTTATCCATTCAAATATTGAATAGATATATTTTATATATTTATATTTCATACAATTATATATATATATAAAAAACTATAAATACATATGTTGTTGGATTCTAGTATATTATCTGTTTTTTTCTAGTGGTACGGTCTTGTGTCAGTCAGTTTTTTTTCGAAAAAATCATCCCAAGTAGAGACCATATGTCGCCTGCCAAGAAGTTGGAAGAACAAATGTCAAGAGGGCAACCGTAGGAGCTGATGAGGCGACCATCTGCTATTTAGTTATTCGGGATGTACTACTGGCATGGTCGGTATTAATTGGCAACTAAACGTGGCATTGGCTGATGCTTATGTCTCTATTGACAGGTCCGGAAAACAACACTGGAGGAGAGGCGGGAGGCTAATTCATCCTTCTCCTTTGCTATCCTTAAAGGATCTTAAAGGGAGAAAACACAACTGGTTGGTGGTGGTTTCAACCCCGCTGGAAAAATATGGGAAATAGTCAAAAGTTAACCATCAACCAGTTGTAAAAACAATATATAAATCAAAGAAAGAATAATATAGTAAAAAAAACATGTGTTATAATATAATATAAAAATATAAGAACATGATACGATAATTTAATATAAAATGAAATAGCATAATATAATACATTTTTCAAAAGCGATATAATAATACAATAATTTAGTATAAAATGAAGCAATATAATATAGTAAAATATCATATGAACAATATTTGATACAACATAATACAGCATAATATAATACAATAATTTAAAACAAAAAATGATAATATATATATATATAAATAATGTAAAGTAATACAATGTCATATCATAAAAAATATATTACAGTATATAATGCAAAAAGTATTAAACTATAATGATATGTAAAACATATAACAAAATAAAGGCTTTTTTGAAACAAAGAAATAAAACTATATAATGAATAATACAAAACACACATTGATTTGATATAATATTAGCATATAAAATAATACCTTCTTTTGCTATAATATCAAAAATAATGTAAATAAATGATTAAAAAAAACGTATGCCAAATAAAAAACAAAACATTTAATTAAAAAAAAAAAGTAAATTTAATAGCATATAATAAAGTAAAATAAAATAAAAATAAAATATAATATAATAAAACAAATAAAAGCATTATATATTTAATGTATATAATTATATAACTCCTTTTTAAAACTTCCAAGCTTGCGGATTTTACACCCGGAACATGATGACTTGGGGCAGTGCTTTTCAGATAGTTTAAACACTGGATCATCCGTCCCCCCTCACCTCGACGCCAGCAAACACCGCCGCAGTACCATGCGAGACGCGCGAAGGGCTTCAACACTTCAGAGGATGGTCATCAATGCTCTAAGTCAGAAATTCTTTGCAAGGGTTCATGACCATATGACCTGCGTCATCCTTTTTTTTGGTGAAAAGTAAGGAGATTTCATTGTGGGTCCCAAGGTATGCAAGTGGAGTGACCAATCCATACACTGGACATATTTTTTTTCAGGATGGACCGGTCTACATAGGGAGATCATCGTAGCATTTTCGCTCTGGTGATCAAACGTGGCTGGGATATACCCGAACTAAACAAACTAAACAAACAGTTGGGAAAATTATCTGGAGATGACGATTTGACGATTTTCGATTGCCACATGGTATTCGGCATGATCCTGCATGCTATGGATTCGCATCCCCAGAGGCTCTGTAATTTTTGGTATGAGATTATGATTCGAGATCCCATTGTTAGTTTGAAGGCTTACATGGCCAGTTTCAGACACACCCAACTATCGTGCATGGATTTGTGTTATCCCATGTCATACCCCCATGATGATCCACATCGTACCAAAACAATCATTTTCTCACTAGATTGGATTTAAGGAACATGTAACACGAAACGCATCTCTTTGATAGTAAAAACCATGCTTTCCTGCCGAATTTTCCCTTCAAAATTGTCAAATAATCCATTGATGGTCCCCATGCGGGTTGGTGAGCTATCTCCATGGTCCGTACCGCCAGGTACGTCTGGTTTTATTTTCCTTACGCGCTCCAACGAAATTGATCCAGGAAATCCACGTAGGAAGACCAAACCTCGACATCCACAGCAAAATGCGGGTGGAAAAAATGGTGTTGGCCATTGAGTACCAAATAACTGGCGCATGGGGACAGGTGAAAAACACAATGTTGAATTGTTGCTGGATTTCTTTGTACTTTTTTAGCGCACTTTCTAATGTCTTATATAAACGCTATGGGCTATGGCTATGGGTATCTTAACGGAATCCTCTCAAAAACATACACGTTTTTTTTCCAAAAAATCGGGGCCAAGAACCTGGGATACAATGATGGCATTTGGTTTCTTACTTAAGTAAAAAAACAGTTCAGTTGCTTGTGGGATTTTGTTTGGCAAGAAAATTATTTCAAACATGAGTCACAAGCACGCAACACACGGGGTTCACCCCATGGATTTGGGGGTGCCTTATGCATGGACAACGCCAAATGGGACCAAAGGGGTATTTAACCAACAAGGACTTAGGATTGAACCAGCTGGAAACTGCCATACATTATCATATAACCATGCAACTGCAGTTGGTTAAATATGATGAAATATCTACATGTAACATCATGGAACCCGTATTGCGCACGGTTTTCATGGGACTATTATATAGCTCAGATGGCTGCTACCAACCAATTTAATCCCATCTCCTTAACAACCCCCTCTTTGAGCCCAACCTCCCAAAAGTTATCCCGGCAAGGGCCCCCAAACATTGTGGAGTTAGGATTCTAAAGGGAAAAGTGGGAAGGACTATAAAGCATGGTGTTCATTCAAGGTGGCCTTTGGAAGAAGAGATGTGAGGTTAGATTCTTCAAGTTCCCTTTGTGAAGATATCTGTAGAAGATCTTGCGCAAAATCTCCTTGACAGGTTCTTGTAGAGGCTCCTTTGCAAAATCTCTTTGCAAGGCTATCTGTACAAAGTGTCTCAAGGACATCCCCACAGAAGATCATGAAGATCCCTGCAAGAGATCTCAAAGTAAGATCTCTGTTCAAGCTCTCAATAACAAAATCTCTGGGCAAGGTCCCTGTTCTCTTCACCAGGTCCCTGTAGAATATCTCCAAAAGAGGTCTCCTGGCAAGATCTCTGTACAAGATCTCCAAAAGAGCTCTGTTGGCAGGATCTCAGCAGATCTCTGTGCAATGTCTCTGCACAAGATCTCCATAAGTGGTCTCTTGGCAAGATCTGTTTCAGAGATCTTGGCACAAGCTCCCTAAAAGAGCTCTATTGGCAAGATCTCAGCAGATCTCTTTGCAATGTGTGTGTGTGTGCAAAGATCTCTACACTAGATCCCTGTCCAAGCTCTCTATAAGAGCTCTGTTGGCAAGATCTCTGTAAGAGACATCTGGGCAAGATATCTAAAAGAGCTCTCTGCATAAGATCTTACAAGATATCTATAAGAGGTCTCCTTGGCAAGAACCCCAAGTGTGGCCACATTGTTTAAGGAAAAATGTGGTATGATCCAGAATTGACCCAGGACATCCTCCCATTATTTCTCAGCAAATACTTGTAAGAAAAGGGATGAATACGGCCAGAAAAAACGGAAACCTGCGGAGTTTGCAACAGAGAAGCATGCAAAACGTGGAGGTTGAACATGATGATGCAATATTGAGCAACCCATATTCAACAAGCTCAGAGAAAAAAAACATGAGAAAACATTAAACAACATATGGAACCGGGAAGCACCTGACAATCATGACTTATCTAACCAGCCAGAATGGAGACTCCACCGTTTTTTTTGACTGCCTCTGCGCATGTCAGCAAGTGGCAACTGAGTGGCAAAAGTTCGATGCGGCTGTCCGCTGGTAGCACTCACATTCCATTGAGAATGGAAAGCAACCAGAAGATGCCTGCCAAAAATGTCTGCTGTAGAGCAACTGCACGGCTTTGGCTTGGGCTTTCTGGGGATGTTGGGCTTTGTGTGCTTGAAATGTATGGGCACGAAGACGGGGAGGCGTAAACAAATTGGTCGGCCTCGGTGTAGTCCATGGGCAGATTCGACGATATGCACTGAGGTCTCATGGCTGCTAAGTATTCGAAGGCTCTTCCAGTGGGACTGTCCATGAAACCTGCCGCAAGACAGGATGGAGCTGTGATCATGCACTTGACAGTGGCCATTGCAGGGCACAGCTCTGAGATGAGATCCTGAATCACACCCGAATTGCTCACGTTGGGCTGTAGATGTTCGAAGATAGGAATCACCTTGATAATGGCATTGAAATAGTTGGGGCAAGCCTCGCAGATGCAAGGGAACATCCTATGGTCACCTTCGACTTGTTGAGCACCTGTGCACTCGAAGCTGGTATTGCTGCATTCAATGGCTGCCCGATGGTAGCAGGCCGATCCGGCTGCTTGAACCGTGAGTGCGAGCTGGAGCCTCATGCTCTCTTCATCGTGTACGCTGAGGGATCTCAGTTGATCGGACCAAGCTTGTTTGTCATCCTGGGGCGGCTCTATTTTGCCGGGGCCAAATTTGGCCTGCTGGGTTCCTAGATCATAAAATGTCATAAAATGAAAATATATGAAACATGTTGAAACCAACAGGTTGAAAATCCTTGCTTCACAAGGGACTGGTGGCTTCAGTGTGGAGGGGGGGAACGTCTATTCCCTTGCAGATTCCCCTTGTGTGTGTCCATCGTATGCGCGAGGAAAATCCGAAAAATCGGCCAAGAAAAAAACACAAACAAGCCCCCCCAAAAAAAAATATAGGTTAAAATCTGAAATAAGTGGTGGATGAACTAGTTGGACGGGGAAGCATAAACCACCAGTGGGGGGCCTTGTATGTCGGGTGTTTTTTCATTTCAAACAACTGACTGAGAACATCTTGGGTTTCATCGTTACCAGGTGGATTGTTAAAAAAAATGCCCATAATTAGCAACATGTTTTTTGAGGAAACCCAAGCATCAAGGAAGCATTGGAAACCTTCACAGGCTGATGCGCAGCTTGCTACCGTGCCACCGTCCAGGCGGCGCGGTTGCGAGCCGAACGAGACGAGGGGTAGTTTCAGCTGAGCAAAGGCCAGGCGTTTTTGATCCTGGAAAATAATGGTTTCAAGTCTGGATTTGTCGTATAATATCTGGAACTCTGACGCTGAAATCTTATTTTGGAGGTGATCATCAATTTCTCATTGAACATGTAGCACGCCTGGGCCTTCCTTTAGTTTTGAAGACGTGTTAATGCAAATAGAGCTACGAAGCTGAGATACAACACCAGCCGTTCTACGGCACCTCAATTAGGCAAATGTTACTTCCTCCTCCTCCACTGCCGGCCACTGCCGGACCTCAACCGCGAGGCACTGCCGGACCTCAACCGCAAGCCCCAGATCTCAGTGGGCACCGGGCGACACATCTCAGTAGATCTGGCGCTCGCGGTTGAGGTCCGGCAGTTCCCATGTCAGAGTGGATGTCAAAATAGATGCCAGATAGAATCTGCCCAAATTATAATAATTCGCGGTAGTTTTCAAACTGAAATACTTCGGTGCTTTTTGCGTTTACACGCTTGATAACAAAGGTTACAACCATTTACAATCACTTACTTGGGAAAGGCTGGGCACTTAGGAAGTTATAAGTTGACTTAGCTGGAACTTAGCTTGGGCCTATGTTAAGTTCAACTTAATTTCAACGTAAGATAAGTTGGCTAAGTTCTTTACATGGTATTTTGTGCCAAAAAAAATGTTTCATTCATTTGTTCATCGCGGCAGCATTTTCTTTACGACATCAAGGTTTGCAATTCACATTTATTTGCTCCCGAATCCTCTCCTGAGCTGGCGGTCAGCAGCCGCGCATGTATGGCAAATGAATTTTTGTCCGTGGACACGTCCATGACCTGCAGCAGGGCAGAGCAGACCACATAGGAGGCAAAGCAGCTTAGCAACTTCTTCTGCAGGCTCAGACATGGCTATAGCACACAGCTATATTAGAAAGCACGGCAAGTCCGAGGCACAAGGAAAACTCTACTTTCTACAAAGATTGCGGAAGGAAAACTCACGAGTTTCAGACTTCGCGTGGCGCGTGGAAACCTCAGCAACCTTGACACGTCCAGTGACAAGGCCGCAGGCAAGGTCAAACGTTCGAGGTCAGGTCGCGGACACGCGGGCTAAGGACATGTTGCACTTTCACCTATATATCTGCGGAAAAGGGGCCGCGGACACAGCGGACCCCTTCTTTTTGGGCGCGGACAGGCGCGGATAGGCGCGGACCGTTTGCGGACATCCACAGCTAGCTAGAAAAGTCTTCATTGCGCTCCCTCACAATTGCACCGACGTGCCACCATAACTCTTGATCAAAAACTGAAAAGATCTTGGCCACCTGCTCCGTTGTCAGCTTGATCTTGCCAGGATCCTTGCAGGTGAAAGAATTGCTTTTCTTTTTGCTCGGAAAACCCCGGCAAAGCTTTCAAGCCAGCCAATTTTTTTTGGCCAGCTACCAGCTGTTTCTCAACGCCTGTGCCATTCTTGGCCTCGACCGTTGAGCCAAAACAACGGAAAAAACAAACCAACATCATGTTCTTACAAAAAGCTGCCACATCATTGCCACATCATCAATTCTACCAATGAGCAACTTAAACACATCAAAAAAAATGAAAAAAACTAACTTACCTAAGTTCAATCTAACTTCATTTCATCGTACAACAAAATGAAAAGTTAACTGACTTATAAGTTCCTCACTGCTACCCCAAGTCATGATGGAACTTACGAATGAAGTCAGCAAGATATGAACTTATAAGTTAGGTTATAACATTCATTACTGAAGTTATAACTATACTTATAACTTCCTAAGTAGCCAGCCTCTCCCAAGTAGCGGAATCCTCGCAGCTAACCGCTTAGCAGGACTTATAACCACTTAATTCAGCAAATCCTCGTGGCCAGGAACATGCCCACGAGGGACCCCCAAAAAGGCCCAGCCGCGAGGCGTTGTACAAACCACGGTTTTAGGTAGGCAGGAAATTCAGGTGCTCAAGTACAAGCGTGGACCTGCACAAAGGACTTGTACCACACAACGCAAAACACGTGTGGCACAAATCCGGGGAATTCAGCTGCTGAAACACAAGCGTTTCTTACCCGCAAAATTAAACAAATCCACCAACTCAGAACATGTCAGGTTTTGGCGCCGGCACTGTTTGGTAGGAATAGGAATGAAAGGACGCATACAACCGTCAAACAACCATGCGGCAGTAACAGCATGAATCATGCATCCTCATGCGAAATTATGGTTCGGTTCGAAAGAAAAACTGCGGAACTATATTCAAAACGGCGCACCATCGAAAAACTGGTCAGCATCCAAAGTGCAACAAACTGCACATCTGAGAATTAATGCATTTTTTCTCTGCAATACATGTTTTTTTTCCGCTGCCACGCATGTTTCTGATTTTTTTGGCCCCGAAACGCCCCCTTTTCGGCCCCGATACGGTCCCGATACGGCCACCGGAGTGCATTTTTCCAAAAATTCAACCGCCAAAGGGTGGCATTGTTTGAAAAAATAGGAAATATAAAGAATTGAACGGAGCTATCCGTGGTGAAGAGTTTTGGATTGAAGTCTAAAAAAGCAGCATGAAAACAACGGCGTGGCTTCTGAGGTAGATCTTCAATGGTTCAACCTCTGTGCGCTGCATTCCCTGCAAACAATCTAATACCCTTTGCAGTTTTTTTTGTTTTTTTTGCGGTCGTTTTTTGTTGATAAAGCATGCAAACAAAGCACATGTATACGTGTGAATTCCTGCGGACATGCCTGCGCAATTCACAATGTGAACTCTTACAGGCTTGGCTACGCACCTGCTTCAAAAACGGATCCCATGATACTTTTTGCACAACCCACGAGAAAGCACGACCACTTAGGACTTAGGGGACTTAGCTAACTCCACTTCTAAACACTTAGCCACGTGGTCTTTGGGCCAGTTACTAACTGGCCAAAGTCTGAACTAACTATTTACAATTGAGCTGTGACTTGCAGCTGAGAAGGCACAAACTTAGCCACTTTAGAAATTCATTTGGGATAGATGTAACATGATGTAACTTCACTTTGTCAACTTATAAACCAAGTTGTAAGTTGCGCAACTTCAAAAAGCGCCAAAGTAGTTTGACGTCGGGAAATTGCGAAATTGACAATTGACGTCGAACTGGTTGTGACCTGCAACCTTCATTGCGCCCTTTTCCACCTGCGTCTGATGGTTCTAGATTCTAGATTCTATAGTTGCCGATTTGGTTTCATGGTTTAACAGCAGCTTTGCAGCTTCTTCAATAACAGGAGACACAACAATAATAGTAGCTTAGTAGACAGCTGGTTGCTGGCACAATTGCAATGACCGGCTCTGCTGTGACTTGTTAGGACTGACGGAGCTGCGGTTGTGAAGCTGAAGCAGCGTCAAGCGGAGAATTTCTAACCGCCTATGTTTTTGAGCTTTTCAGCCCCCAAAAGCTCAAAAACATAGGCGGTTCGAAATTTGAGGTCAGCTTATTAATTTCGGTAGCCGCTTTAGCTTCATTCAAAGAACAGCAGAATGAATCGAACTCAAGCAAGTTGGCTTAAGAGCCTGAAGTGAATTATAGAGGCTCTGGCTAAAAGGTGAAAGCTAAGAAGCAAACAGAACGCAGTGCTGTGGCCAGGGCTTGAAGATATAATATAAATATAATATATATATAATTATATATATATATATAAACAGATGCCAGATAGGATGCCAGATAGGATGTCAGAATAGATGCCAGAAAGGATGCCAGATTGGATGTCAGAATAGATGCCAGATAGAATGCCAGAATAGAATGACAGAACATCTCTATGTGCGTTTCGTCAGAAAATATAACCGTTATATGCCGTGTATACTTCCAGAAAAGATGCCAGAAACTATGACAAAATAATTTGTCACGGTGGGGATCACTCGAAGCAGAGCATTTCAACAAATAAACTGTTTGATACATTTTCATACATTTTCGGTGTAGGACATGTTTGACAATCTACATATATTTTGAGTCAGGGATACGCAGGGCATTGGCATTGTCGCACTCACCAGTTGATTGGGGGGTGGCCTGCGGCAACCTGTCGCATGGCGCAGCCATGCTGGGACGGAAGTCCAATGATTTGGGTCTTTATTCGCTCTGCTTCGGGCCATTCGTTGGTACTGGCATGATGCATTCACATTTCAAAGGATGTACTGAGTCATGATTCAGTAGATCTTGATTGTTTCGATAGACAATGTCTATAGCCCTTCTATTTCAGATTTGATGGTACTTTGAGTGGAAACCCTAGTGAACTCAACTTCTATCAGGACTAAATTCCCTCTACACTTTCAGTAGCGACATTGAAAGCCCCTTACCTACCAAAACTATCGCTAAATGATGAAAGGGTCCATATCCAAAGAAAAGCGAACAAATACAGGTTTACAACAAAAAAATACGTTTTCATCGTTTTTCAACTTTAAATCAGCAGAAAACAAAAGAAATACAACCTTGGGATTTCCAGATAGTTGAAAGGACCAATCAGAAGGCGGCCAACTTCCTCTGGATGCAACCAGCTCCTGAAACTCTGCTGAAGGGATCTCCCCGCTGCAGCACCCAGCACCAAATGAGCCAAGCAAAAACAGCAATCTCATCATGAATTAGTTACCGTCGGGCTTGAACCTATACAGCAAGCGATCTGAGCCGACAAAGATTCGAATTGCAAACGAAGACAAGTGAAAAGGTTTAATAGCAAGCCCCTAAAGATAGACAAACAAAATCCTAACCAAAATGGGAATGGTGTGGTTTTCCTTTCTTGGGAGTTGCCATATATATATATATATATACATATATATATATATATAGTGGGATCACTCCTCATTCGGCTTCACAAGGCACAGCTATATCGATGCATCCATACCCATCCTGCGAGGATCTGTGCCGGTGCCGGGTGGCAGGGTCCGTACGTAGCACTTCTCCACAAGCGATCACCACCTTGGGGCAGGGGATCTCCCTCCAGGAAACTCGACCCTTGGGCCACAGCGTAGGAGCAACGCTCCAGTCAAAGGAATCCCGAATCAAACTAACATAACTATGGAAAATAACATTGTTTAATGGGAAAACTCACTATAAATGGCCATGTTCAATAGCTACATTATGTGTTTTCTACAGGTTGGGGGTTCGTACCATGTACATAGCATATCATAGCATAGACAAAAGGACCCCTCCACACTGGATTTTGGCGATTCACCTCATTTGTCGTGGGTTATCACTTTGTAGCAAGCAACAGGGTCCTGAAGATCAGATTTAAAACATCAGCGATGACTTGGGTGTCGTATGCTTCCAGGCTGCCCCTCGGAGGGCATGCGGACTAAACAGCCAGGGTTGGGTGGTTCTATATACTTGAAGCGTTCAATCTTTCGTTTTCAGAAACTGATCACTTGTGATGTTCATTATTTTTGTTCATCCTCTTCCTATCTTTCCCCATGAAACCTGCCATTTTTGGGAAGGTGAAATATGTGAAACCGTGAAATCCTCCATAGAAACCTCCAGATTTCTATCCCAGTGGCCAGGAAGGACTTTGCCCTGGTGATGCCAACATTCAAGCGTCGATGGTCCGTCAGAAAGCCCAGGCCTTCCGCGGCCAGCCCCGTGGCTCGCGATCATTCCAGAAGCTTTGGTAAACAAAGAGTTCTCGAAAAGGAAAACCATGCAACAACTCACTCCTGGGGGTGCAGGATATATGTATAAATACAAATATATATATATATACATATAATATATGTTTGATATATCAATGTGTATATATATATATGTACATTAAGTAACCGCTACATTTAATATTCTAATATTCAAATGAACACATAGAATAGGGTAAAAATCGATGCTGCGCGAACTATCAAATGGAATTGTTCAACATCTTTTGGGATATGTTTGACTATTTTGACTTATCCCCAAAAATCCTAAGTATATTCTATGTGGTAGTTGCTCAAAACATATAATTACATATATAATCCTATAATTACACTTCTATATATATATTTATTTATTTAAGTTATTCATTTATTTATTTATAATTATATTTAACATTTATATATATATATGTAGCACATATATATATAACTTAGATGTATATATGTATATATATATATATAGTCAACCCAGTGACAAGCAAACCTCAACCTAAACACGTCCTGGCCTTGAGTGCGAACGCAGGAGAGGATGATCACCTGCATTCGGCGTCTCGAACTTGTGGACTCTTTGGGGAAAATGATGGGACAAATTACAGGAAACCCTATATTTCATGCGAAAATCATTTGTTTCCGGATAAGATGTTCCCCCCAACCAATCCATTGAATCATGGGAATTTGGGATTTTTGGCGCTTTATCATGAGTGCGACCGCTTTTTCAATGCTGAAAATTAGCCGCCACTTGGGTGATCATCTCAATTTGTTTTTTGTTAGTAACCCTGATAAATAAGCTTGGTTCATCAGTCCCCTGGCTGGGATTATAAACTATCAATAAGTCCCCTAACATCCTCTAACTTAGGATTGTCCCATTTAATTCAATGGCTTATAGTTCCACTAACCAGTCATGCAGACTTTAGACTATCCCCATTGACTGTATACCTGTATACAGTAGGTGGCCCAGCGTATCATCATAATCATAATCCCATTTACCCTCTGGTAATTTAACATGGCCCTGGAACATCCTGAATCTTGTTCGATGTTTGATCGTACTATATCCCGATCAAAACCAGATATCATTTATAAGATTAAAGAAGTGGATTATAATATGTATTGATAATAAGCATTATACCAATGTATATTATATTCATCGATCATTAATCCCGAATAAGTCTCGTTTTTTTTTTTGAAATCTGTTCATGGCAAAACCTCCATTTCCCAGCCTGTTTTGATCTCTGGATACAAGGTGGGGCTCCAAAACGATGGCCTATGGTTTATCGATGTTTATTGTGCATATTAATGTACACACACATATTCATATATATATATATATACACCCAGAATCCCAGAAAACGATGGTTTTATAAGCGAACAAGCACATCTGGGGGGCATCGGCGTGTACCAATGTTGTCTCTTTAGGAAAAAAGTAGAGGGGCCGGTTTGGCATACTATGTATTGTATATAATCTACTGTACCAATAAAGACTGGTCCCCAAGGGGGGCACCCTCTAGTACTAAGGACACCCATGCCACACAGACATTTATACATCATTAGATTTTTGGGATGGCATCAGCTTCAATAAAAAAACGAATCGACGAATCCCGATGATCCAAACCCACCTCCTTCTCTCGGCCCTGATAGCCGTCCACCGTCTTCACTTCCAGCGCTTTGGTAGACTCCAAGCGGAGATCCAGGTCCTGGACGACTGGGCGAAGTGGAGAAACATCATGAAACAACCAAAGGTTTAGATGTGTTTTGATATATGATGAAGATTGATGAAGTTTGAACACTTGGGGTATGATTAGGTTGTCAATTACTACAGTACCCTGTCTCAGAAAGTATGGCGAAACGGATGGTCATCAGAAAGCATTGGGAAAGGGATGGTCAACTAACCATCTGGAGAACGTATATCTAGATGAATATCATCAGTCAAATAGTCTAATAGTCTATGCCAACTATTCAATCATTCAATGATTCATATACATGCTGCAATGCCGCACCGATCACAGTAAGTCTCAACATGTCTCAACATCCCGCTGCCACATCAATCCAGTGGGCCCAGCTCAGCATAGCTCAGCCCATCAAAACCGATTCTTCCGGCAGTGGATTCCAATGGTTGACGAATCAGCAAAATGTTCGTTATCTACCAATCCCCACCCAAAAAAAAACAACATGTAAAGGCTCCTGTGGTTTCATCTTCTGATTCTCCAGGGCTTGTTTGATTTGACTCACCTGGGCTTTGGGCTGGTTTTTGAGTCTTTGCTGGCCATCACTTGGGCGCCCGAGAAAATAGGTTGACTACCTAAATAAAAAAGCCTAGAAGGTTTCAAATTTAGGTATCCAAATTACAGTAAAAGCATGTATGCGCCAGATTCTAATGCATGGAATTTGTCTTTTAAGGGGGGTCTTGATGATCATAGGATCTTGGGGTTCTCAATTTGAAACATACCCACTGGATTGATATATTGTAGAACAGATGAAGAACACCATTTGCGTTCCTCTGAAGGTTTGAAAACTGGGATTTCCGGCATTTTCTTGGATTAGCTAGAGGGCTATAACAAATAACCGTAAATTCCCCAATTGCTCGATTCACCATTGTGAAAGTGAACAGTCTTCATCTCAGCAATCCCAGGAACATGGAGGTTTCGACCTTGCCAGAACAAATAGCTAGTTAGTAACTTTTCTCCTCGTTGTTCCATGTTTAAAGTAACCCCCAAACAGATCCAACAGTTGGAAACCCAGGGCCTAGAAATCATCGGAAAAACTGCTTCATCGAACCTGGAAATATCTGGAATATGTCGATCCTTGGTGAGATCTCCCCCTATTTCCTCCATCCAAAACCTCGCGATTCTTCTCCCTCGCCTGTGCAGTATAGGGTGAAATCACCCCGATGTCTTCTTCACCCGCCTGACGCAACGGTTCAGATGAGGTATTTGGGTTTTAAGAATCTGGAAATTGGTGGATTACAACACCAAATATGGGAATAGAGTCCAGAAAAATAATGGGGATACGGATGGGATACGGATGGATATGATGAATTAACGGGACTTTCCTGGGATATATATCTCACAAACAGTATGGTTTGGGCATGTCTGAACATGTGTTTTTTAATTAAACAAAAGTTTTCACGTGGAACCCGGCTGGTATGGTGGAGATCCAATCACTTTTTTTTTTAAATCCACCAAGAACGGAGAGGTATCCCCCGGACATGATGATGTTGATCATGATCAACAATGATCATGTTTTAATGTGTATTATATATGTTATGGAATATAATAACACGTTATAAAATATTATAACATATTATAACCCATGTATATCCATTGATGTCCAAACAGCTTCTGTTCCGGTTCATGGTTCAAACGAAGTATGAGTCGACTCCAGTCGACTCCAAAAGTTGAGAAGGTTTTTCTCTGGTTCATGTACCAGTCCTTTGCGTATATCATCGTATATCATCGTCTATCCCCGTTTCTGCGAAATCCATGTTTCAAGAGGCAACAAACGCTGTGCGATGCCTGACGATCAGCGCACCCGGTTTGTTTCTTCCTGCTGAAACGCGAAAGTTCGGCGAGAAACGCACGATGGAAACCACCATCCATCGTTGTGAGAACGTAAGATTTGGTGGCTTTAAACATTATCAGACATATTCTGGTCACAAACGCCACGCTTGAGCTTTGACCCACCTCGCCGCAGGACTATCCGATAGAGTGGTTCCCCTGAGCATCTACTGTGGTTTGGCTTCACGGTCGGCAACCAAATCTTTGGCAGTTTTTTGGCTAGTAAGCTGTGCCCGTCTTAGCATCCATGTCATGATTTAAAATTACATAAAGTTACAAAATGGGTTTAATTCCAGGACATGGTTAGTCTTACAGCCGCAAGTTGATGGTTGGACCCTGGGCAAATCACCTTTTTCTGAATGCGAAATGACTCTTGTATTCAAAACTGGCAATGCCAAATGGAATATTTCCTGTAGTCACTGTAGTTCCAATTTCTCAACAAAGATTTGGTCACATTTTTTTGTATAGTTCCTTGTTTAAAACCATCCCAGCAAACAAGCCTACTCAATCTTAGTCCTCTGTTGATCGCCTGCTCACAGGTTGGCGGGCCAAATAGCTCAAGGTTTCTTTTCCACACAGCAGGGAACTGTTCCACTCTGCCGGTCATCATCTGGGTATGAACAATGTGTATCACAATTCATTCTACTGCTATGTATCACAATTCATTCTATAATCCATTTAGCCATTTGAAAAAAAAAACATCGCATTACACCACCATTGTTCACCATTATCTGCCAGAAATTACACCATGAATCGCTCTGTGTGGCTCTTTGGCCACCACCGAGCACGAGATCGGAGACGGTTTGGGAAAACAAGATTGTGGTTATGTGTGTATAATTGTGGTGTATATAATAATAATATATATATATATATATACGCATATGTAGTATTCCCCCCAAAAAAAGAGTTTTTTAATGCATCACTATTTGAGTAGGATGTTACTGGTTTATCTTTGTTGGGGTCACTGTCTATACTATCTATACTGTATACTATACATTGTATAGATGAAGCATAGCATAATATAATATATATATACACATACACAAGCATCATTCCAGTGACCTCGCAGTGAGTGAGGTCGCCAAAATTCAATAGGGAAATCAACTATAAATGGACCATTTTCAATAGCTATGTTAAATTACCAGAGGGTATATATACATATGCCCATGAAATGGTTGCTGTGATACTCCCGTTGGTGTTGGCTCATGTTGGCAAAGTCGTTGCCATGTTGTCTAAACACCGACCCAAGATCAAGATTTTGGCTAGTTGATGTTGGTTGTATCCCATAGTATCCATAGAATAAGTGTGATTTACCCTCTGGTAAACTAACATAGCTATTGAAAATGGACATTTATAGTGGATTTACCTATCAAAAATTGTGATTTTCCATAGTTATGTTAGTTTACCAAAGGGTATTTGTACCATGATGTAATTCATACATTTGAATACATTTGAACATGTTCCTTTAAGCCTCACATTTATCAATTCTATATATATATTATATCTTGTACATCTGATTGTGTAGATTTTCTTAATGAAATCCCCGGTTTCTATCCATTCTGAAGATTTAAATCCTCTCTCCCTTTCTCTCAGCCTGAATGACAATGTTGCATCACAATGTAAATTTTATCATGTTTTATGTATTTAGATAATATGTATATATATATATATATCATAGTACCATTACACGTATTATTATACCTATTCCTCCACTTGTTTCCTATTTTTGAATGGATCAAATCACCATGACATCCAAACAGTTCCAACCCTGTCCGAGCTGGACAGTTTCAAGCGCTCCCACCATTTTTTCTTGGTTGGAAGTACTTTTGGTTAAAATGCTTTAAAATAACGAAGCATAGTTTCAATTTTGGTTGGTTCAAATGCTTTCAAATAATAAAGCGCCATTTTGGTTGGTTGACACAGCTCCTAAACACCTCTGGATACACTTGTTGTTGGCTAACCCCCCGTTCAAATATGTTTTTCCGAAGATGCCCCATCGCCACGCTGCGATGACACCGAAGGGTAAGTAACCAATCAACATTAAACAAAAACCCATCAGAATCCCATTCAATCGCCATGTTTGACGCTAAAACCACCACTTTCCACCATGAAATCCGATAAAATCCCATTAAGAACATTCATAAAGTCCCGTGAACTTTCCATTTGTCGATGGTTCAACTGGAAATCCCATCAACAAAACAGGGAAAAATCCCATAAGTTCCATGAAAATTGGAGTCCCCATGTGTTTAAACCCTAGTTAAACCTCGGTTTCCAGCGAGTTGTTCGTTGGGTCAGCGATTCACGGCGAAAATGTCCACCTTCTCCACCGAGGTAATGGAATCCACGAGGCGCCACTGCCGGGGCCAGGTAGTTTGCCCTGACAAACCCATCCTCAACGCCCAGTTTCGGTGCCGTTTTTAAGGAACTCCAAAAGGGAAAGAACATGGGAAAATGTCATGAACATCTGAAGAAAATGAGACTTCAAGGCGTACACATTTGTCCATGTATTTATATAATTATATATAAATATACACATATATATATATATATATATAAATGTATATATATATATATGTGAGAGAGAGAAAAATCAATGGATTGTAGAATGTTCTCAAGGATTTTGATGTTTTCAAATTTTAGACACCCACGTTTCACATGCCCGCACTTTCCATAAACCAATTTCAAGGATTTACAGTGGCGTCCCTGCGCATGAACATTGCAAGCCATGGCTAAATACCTAGTTTTTCATCACCAATTCGTGCAGGATCGTCCTGCTGTTGCATCCGTCCTGCCAGGAATATAATACACATATACATAATATATACTGGTTGGTGGTTTTAACCATCTTGAAAAATATGAGTTCGTCAATGCGAAGGATGACATCCCATATATTATGGAAAATAAAAATAGATCCAAACCACCAACCAGTATATATATATATATTATAATATGTGTCAAAACCCCAGCCAGAAATTTTGACCCTGCCATTGCCATAGGCATCTGTATACCGTGCCCTGATCAATTCTGCAAATACTTGCATATCGGTACTGCATTCCAACGTCATCTTGACATACGTCAATGAGATCCAAGGACTGAAATTTGTGAATAATCATCATGTATTAATTCATATTAAGTATATAATTATCATTGGAAACCCATGTAGTGTTGATACCACTGTTGTGCCAACAAGATGCTGAAAGACGCGCCGAAAACTATGTCGATCCTTAGAAGCGCTCCGGAGGTCGGTGGCTGCGTGGAGTACATCCTATCAGGTCCTATCATCTATGACTATCCCAAACGCTCCCTGGTACAACCACCGTCTACCAACCAAGAATTGCTTCAATCAAACATCACGCTAAATCACCCTCGTACTTCTATAGCATTATGTTTACATCTAGCTATTGGCTCTGTTCTTGTTTGTTGTTGCCCCTCCTGGTATCTGGTATAGTCTGTGATTCATTAGTACATTAACCCGCATTCGTAGGACTAATATCAATAGTCAAGATGGTCACCCATTAGGATAGTACTAACTACAATCCTATATCATCCCACCATATGGAGGTACTACGGATCTGAATGGGGGATTATGTTTCTTTTTACAATACCATGATCTTAGTACGAACATCTTACGATATCACCAAAAATATCATCCCACCCTCATCTTTTCATACCATTTCTTCTACGGAGGTTTCCGAAAATGGGGTACCCATCACCGGGCGTCGGGATCCACCACCTGCAGCGCTTTGAGCCATCCCACCACTGCACCCAGCAGGGCGCCGTAGCGCAGGCCACGCTTCACCTAGGCCGTCGCCCCCAGGCAACTTCTAGACATTTTGAGCCATGTCCAAATGGGGTGATATTTGTTGATGTTTTTTTGGACAAAGAAATAATGTGATGATATGGAAATAATATATCTCTGTTGATGGTTCTGGCCGAACAAACATATTTTGGACCTACAAATAAGGTTTGTTGATGTGGACCAGCGCAGCTTATGTTGGAACTGCAAAAGGCGATGTTCATCAGCACACACATGATAAATACATCAAGGAGAGTAGAAGTTCTTGATGGATGTTTGACCGAAACAGAGCGGTGATGAACCAAACAAGTAGGGCTTTTGCCAGCGAAAAAAAGGGCTTTTCCACAAGGAGACCATTGAAGATTAAACCAACACTGGGGCTTTTTTGGAATGGATGTCTGACCAGAGATCTTGGTGAGGCTTAGCGATTCCTCCTCCAAACGACCTGGGACATGAACCACTTAAGAGTTTAAGAGTAACATATCCATCTTTCGCAGGCTTGAACATGTTGAAACATGTCTGAAACCAGCCAGCCTTTTGTGTTGGTTATATATGGTTATATCATGATATCATGGGTATTATACATATATAATATAACCATATATATATATAATATATATATATTATATTTATTTATTATATATATATCATGATATCCCATGGTAATATATGGTTATATACCCATGATATCATTCCCGTTTACCATGATGAAGTCGTCAGAGTCGTATCACAAAAAAGTGGCCCATCTCGGATCGCGGAGGCTCAGCACCACCAATTCCATAAAAACCACGGAGACCACGTAGAGCAGCCTCAGCGTCAGATGGTCAGCCACGACAGCCAAGGATTCCTGGAACCAATAGATTTTTGTAATTTTTGTGATTTTTGTGAGAAGGTATGTTTTCCTATATTTCTTGGGTTATGTTATATAGTATGTCAATGTATGATATACCCTTCCGTAAACAAACATAGATATGGAATTTCATCACCAATTGTAGATCATGTTCTTGGGGAAACGTTGATTTGTGCGGGACGAGATTGGCCCGATTACCTTGCTGAAGAACCAAGATAAGGGGAAAACAGTTTCGGATGTGAAAGGATGTCATCAGTGGGTTTCCAATGTCTGCCCCACCATTCTAGTTGTGACAAGTCACATCTTCCAGACTTACATCAACTCTAATGCTGGGTTGTGCTGCCATGTGCTGCCAACAAATGTTGCTTGCTGAAAATGGTACAGTAACAGTACTTTTTTTTTGTGATTAATGGTGATTTAATGGGATTTAATGGTGATGCAGGACTACATGACCCTGCCGCGGTGTAGCATGATGCAGGTATCTTCATGGCCGACCGTTTCGACATTGATTTTTCACCACCATGTGACTGTGATGGTTTCATCCGATGACCCCAAATTGTACCAAAACATCCTAAGCAATGACTTAGAATTTAGAACCCATTCAAAAAAAACGAATTATCCAAGGATGGCTTTCTCAGCAGTGCCCCTGCTGTCAAGTGACAAGGCTTGCCAAGAGTCCAAATCGGCCAAATCTGCACAGCGCATTGGTAGTGCAGCCCACCCCATTGGTAGAAAATGATGATGGGGTACCAAGTTTAAAAGTAAGTTAGAGCAAGAACGAATAAGGATAACACAAAGGCACAAGGGCAAATAAGACTCAAACCATGAAAACGTAGGGATGAAAGGGCCAAACACAGGATATCACAGGGTTTTGAGCAACTGTTGGAATAAGTATCCTTTTCATATAAACGCATTTCAGGCTGCTAGAAGGTTGTACCGGAGCCAAAGGAAAGCCACATCCTTGGACCTTGGAGGGTCCTTATCTGATGAAAGATCTCCATGCGGGGCATCTCGGGTAAAGGACGTCACCAGTGCCCCATGAGATAATTCAATATAATTCACTCTCGAAGATTGGGAAATAGCTTGAAATAACCATAAATAACCAAGAACATATCTACCTGCTGGTTGGGCCCTGGAAATAACTTGATCAATTGAGCGTCATTGGGAATCATCATCCCAAATGGAACGGCGCTCAACATGGACTCCAAACTCTGAGACCCTTGGACCCTGACCATCCGTGTGGCGAACGAAGCGAAGCCTGGCTGACCAAAGGGAGACCGGGAGGCAAAGGGGGATGTTCCTGTCCTCCTCGCCCATCACTTCTGGTTGATACACTTTCCCATGTTGGATTTTGACATATTTTGACTAATAGCCCCAACAAGTTGTAATACTATATATATATATACATATACATATTATGAAATTAAAGACGCGCCCGTACATTCTCATGTTGAATGATTTTTCTGATGTGCAGATATATATATATATATATATTAAATCAATAAATAAATAATTAAATAAATAGATAAACAAATAAATAAATAAATATATTATATAAATTAATATATAAATAAATATACATAAATATATATATATATAACACCAGCAACTTGTCATACCCGGGCAACTTATTGTTGTTCCAAAATCAGATTTCTCGCCAGTTTCGAGACCATCCCCCAAATCCCAGCATTGAAAAACTGACCTTGGCCGACCCGTTTCCGTCCAGATTTCACCAGGTTGTGCTAAAATTTACCCAAATAAACCCATCCAATTGATCCGTCTTTTTTTTTTTTCTCTCTGCCTTTCTTTATTTCAAGGAAAAGCGCACATTCGAAACATTGGACTAGTGTTGTGCTGTAACCCTAGAGAGTTATTGTTACACGCTACCACACCCGTCAAAAAAGAAAAACACCCGTCAAAAAAGAAAAAATGTACAATGTACTCTGCAGTTACACGTAAAACAAGAAAGCAAGGCCATGTTGTAATATGTGGTATATTGCAGATTTTGGGCAGCCAGAGGATATCTAGATAATAGCACAGTAATTTTTGAAATATAGAATATAGATCTATGGAGGTTTCCTAAAATGGGGGTACCCCCAAGTCATCCATTTTAATGATTATTTCCATTATAAACCATCCATTTTGGGGTTTCCACATTTTAGGAAACCTCCATATAGATATGTATGTACTCAGAGAAATGTTCGGCCTCAGGTTGGGCAGGGCGCCGAAACATCCCAGCAGAACACCCGCAGCCATTCCGCAGCAGCCCAGGTGCAATGCCTAAAATGGCCATGGCATCAGAGTCATATATAGATGACCACTGAACATGTTTTTTAACGCTGATTTTTTGATGTTTGTTTTCAACATATCATAATAATTTGTGGAGGCGTGGGCTAGTAATAAAACAACCATTGAGAGATTGACATGAAAGATCTTCAGGTCTAACAATTGTTTGTGGCAACCTGGGGCTCCATGAAACTTAGCTACAGGATGGCGACCCTTTTTGCAGTGTCTATAGGAAGTCCTGAAAGTCCAGTATGATGAGCCTATCCAACTGGCAAAAGATTAAGTTGTGAAACTATCCTTCATCGGTTTCGTTATACCCAGTGATGACATGATCATCTATCTCACCATGTGTATAAACAGTATATACCATTAAATATTATATATACACCTTCCGGTAAATCAAAATAGATACAGTATGGCTTTGTCTGAAAAGTGCTATCCCGATATCCCGGTATGGAAAATCACTGCTGCCAAGTGTCGGCACCTGTTGCCTGAGCGATTGTCGCTAACAAAGCGAACTGTGGCATGTAACCAAAACAGGGCTCGAAAGACTTGTGATCACCCTCTGGAGATCAAACAGGGCAATGGACAGTCCGGTTTTGGAAGAACTGAATCATCTGTAACTGTGAATGGTCGTAAGCAAATAAAGTATCAATTCCCAGTGGATACAATTTGGTAGTCATGGATGTCATACTTTAACCATGATCCCTTATATATAACCGTTATTTGTAGTATTCAATATGCAAAATCATCCTGCGTGTTAATGTTAAGATTGTCCCTTGGCATTTTCAAATAACATCACTGGACTTGTTGTCCGGAATGCCTGCAGGAAACGAGTACACTTAGATCCTCCAGGTATCAACAATCCCTTCCCATGCTCTTAAATACCCCCAAACAAAACCATGGTTAAGCAGTGGGTCTTTTCATTCTGGTGCCCTCATTGGGGGCGTTGTATATAAGCTATATGTAGATATGTATCACCATTTCAGTCATGGTTAAACTGTATTAAACCAGATTTCTTGATGGTAACCCCCCCATCAAAAACTACGGCTCAGTCCCACTCTATCCCATGAAAGTTCATCAGAAATCCCATGAAATCCCAAATTCAATCTTTTGGGGTATGGCTAAATCCCATGTTTGATGGTTTTCCATCCCCCATGTTCACCTGTCGTGTTGATGATGTTTTTCCCATGGTTTTTCCCCAAACCGAATCTGATCATTTCAAGGATGGTTAAACATTTTTGCATAAACCGCATAAACCGCAATGTTTTGATGGCTGAACCAGCATCTTCATGTTTTTTGTTGAGCAAACCTATTAAAACCAACATTGTTTACATTACTCTTTACAATGATTAATCACGTGATTAAACACCATTATCAACGATTTAACTATGATTAACCATTATTACACCATCAAAACAATGATAATAATGATATCTTAACTTTCATCATTAATATTATCCACCATGAACCACCATAAACCGTCGTTATATATATATAACCCTTGGAACGACATCGCTGGTCACAAGCTGCTCCCATCAGCTTCAAGGCCAGCCATCGGCTCCTCCGAAAGATCCGCAGCTGCGCTGTGTACGTCGTGGACGCGCTGGTCCCTTCGGACCTGGCGATGGCTGGAGATGGATGGATAGTCATGGATAGCCAGTAATATCATGAAACCATGGATACATCAGTAGATTGATGGACTAATCATGAAACGATGTAGTTACTGTATATATAAATATATAAATAGAGAGAGAGAGAGAGTTATATAACATATCTAATTGTGATATTGATATATCAACCATTTACCATAAACTATGGATGGTATTGATGATATGTTACTGGGTGATAGCTGGTGATATTAATGGATATCTGGGCAAATTGCAGTAATTCACTAACCTGAACTAAGGCTATATTGGCCTGTTTCCCTTACTAACCATGATTCCAGTGAGGTCACGGTGAGGTCACGGTGAGGTCACGGCGAGGTCACTATAGTATGATACTAATGGATATTATAGAATAGAAGATCATAATGGATGTGAATGGGAATATTTTGATGGTTGATATTGATTGCTTTTGAGGATATGGAATCCATAAATGATACATCAATGGATATCTGTGTATATTTAATCACTGATGAAAGATAGTTAGGGATTAGATTGGTTAGATGGATGGATATTGATGAGATTGATGGATTTAAGTGACAAAACATAGGGATATACTCGAATATACTCGAATATTAATGGATGTGAAGGAAAACTTAAAATGAATATTGATCCCTAGGGCTCCAAACACCTTCTGAAACTGCATTTGGTGTTTTTTCTTTGGCCTGATCACCTTCTCAGAGGGTTTATTGGGAGCACTAGGGAATGAGATATTATTGGAATATGCTGATGAATATGAATATACGATATTAATGGATATTAATGGATACTAATGGAAGATTGGAAGTGTGTATTCGATAGTAGAGAAGAATATAATAGATATGAACGGAAATATGCACACAATAATGGATGTCTGAGGATTTGGTTGATGAACACAGTGGCTTTGATTCTGTTTGATTGCGACTTGTTGGGAATTGGGTCCCACTTGTTGCTTGCAATCCCATGTTGATGGGTTGGCAGTGCCATGCTTTGATCCCCGTTTCGCAAACACCATCTTTGACATTTAAAGGTGTCAAACAAACCCTTCCATATTTGTTGTTAAATCCAAATTTTGGCAAGTGAAATCACGGTTTTGAAGAAACCTGCTCAGGAAATCACTAATGAACATCATGGAATCACCTGCTTTGCCGTGATTTCACGCGCCATTTCGGGTGAACATCCCATCATCCACCCCGGCGCGCGGCTCGCCTCGCGTTGCCTCGCCCCAGCCCCGCCCGCCGCAGCAGTTGCTCCACGGCTTTGGTGTTCAGCACCTCGCTGTTCACCAGCTCCTGCAGGCGACAAAGCTCCATGCTTTATCCATAGAGGGATCCCTCTATTGCGCACCTAGAACCCTGGCTTAGTGGATCTGTTCATTTTAGGGTTTCAATGGAGGCATTTGACTAAGGTGAGGGGGATGGATATATATATATATATTATATTATATTATATATATACATACGTGAGAAACAAAGCCCGCAGAAATCTTGGGGTTTGAAAAATACTCGAGCTTTTCCGACAAAACCCGAGGAATATTTACCCATTCTGAAAGTACGGATTAGGTACGGGTTAGTACGGGTTAGTACGGGTTAAGTACGGGTTAAGTACGGGTTAGGTACGGGGTAGCTACGGGTTCAAAATCAAGACCCCAGGTCTTCAATCGAAAACCGGTGTTTTCTTATTTTTTCCGAAATACATCAGGTTCTTGTGTTGACCTGAGGAAGTCTTAGGGTTTTGGTTCTCCAGGATCCTTTTATTGTGTACACATGAACCCCTGCCACGACTGCATTGGACTGAGAGAAGTGGTTTGGCACCAAAAGATGGCATGGTTTCCTGCTGAAAATACACAATGAATAACGACTCATGATTACTTCGAAAATGTCCCATAAATAAATAGCTGGCTAATATTAATTGTGGCAAATCACAGAGACTGTTGCTCCAAAAAAATGGCTGGTTAGGTAAATGCATTCCCATGCGCGGCAAGATGTTAAACTATCCGTTCGAGATTTCTCTAGACACACAAATTCTTGCCGATCCTTCCGCTATAACATAGGTACAAACCTTTATACCCATACGAGTAACTGCTATCCTCTCAGATAAGAGTCATATAGTCATAAAAGCTTGTAACCAAGAAACCTCGAATTGTCATAGCATGGTATAACCACTAAAAACAATTGTCACAAGTAATCACTATTAATAATAATATATAAATCATTATTAATTGTTAACAATCATTAATCATTATTAGTCATCATTTATCAATCATATAATCAGTCATGATTGATCATTCTTAATCATTAAGATCTTGATTACTCATAATGATTGGCACAGTGTTTAATACTGATCGTTACTAGCCACTAATTATTATAGTCCTTCATCGAAATGGAGGTTTCCTAAAGTAGGGCTACCCACAGTTCTCATCCATTGATGGATTTTCCATTTTCAATAAACCATCCAGCGATAGAGGGGATCACCCACTATGGAAACCCCCAAAAAATAACTTCACGTAACTGGCGCATCCCATTCCATCTCCCACGGCCTTCTCCACCCACTTCTGCACTGTGGTCTGCCGCAGCGGTAGCAGCGCGGCCAACAACGGCACCGCCACGCGCGGCGGCACGGTGCCCGCGCGGCCGTGGTGGCCGGACAGGACACCTCGAAAATCGTGGAAATACGGGTACAACAAATCAATGGCCATAGATTGGCCATAGATCAAAATAGTAGGGAAAGAGTGGCAAAAAAGTAGGAAATGGAGGATTTATCATGGTTTATCCATAAAAAGTTGGGATTTTGCACGCAATTGACATTGTTCTTTGGGGATGATACCCCATTTACAGATTTTACAGCAAACCTTCAACTCGATTGCAATGCGGGGCTTGCGCCAAAAAAACGGATATGCTATGAAAATTAGACCACCTCCTTATTGGGTCAAACTGCGAACGTGTTGATCCTCGGTTGGCTCGACAGGGTAAGTGATCCTGAAATGGGAAATAATAATGTGTAGTTCGTGGTGAAAAAGTGTCATGTCAATCCTGGATTCTGCAAAACCCCTACGCTGTTGATCTTTGGTGCGTTATCATGTTTGTAGCACATCACCATTTGGGGGGAGCACACCCGGTTAATGAACTGTTTTTTTTTTAATTACCCATATTGACATTAAATTGGCATATTTTCGTTGTGACACCCCATGGCCCATGGTCCATCGAAGTATGTGGTTTTGGGGTGGTCAAATCATGACAAATCGGCAAAATTCACCGCCAAGACACAGAGCCCAGCCACAATATCTGAAGGATTCATCTCCTGGCACCCGGATGGGTAAACCAAGGATCTGGAAACAAAAACGCCCGTTGTTTTTTTTGATTTTCCTAGGAAAACCATTATACATCTATGTCAATTTACCCAAGGGTAACAGAACATGGGATAACCCTTCTAATATTTCTAATCTAAGTATGGCTGGTAGGAACACTCCCCGAACTTAAGTCGTGTCCTTGTATGTGTTGGTAATGTTTCCCTCGTTTTCCCTCAAGATGTGGAATCGTGTCCCACATTTGTTCCTTATCTCAGCGTCTCCCCGATTTGTTGGTTGACATGTTTAACCCCTAGGCGGTGGAATTGTTAGGTCAGGTAAATCACAGCATGATTTGCTGTATGTGTTCCACATGTCCAAGTTTGGGACATTCGCGCTGCCATGCGAAACGTTTGGGAGGTGCTTCATCAAATAAAGCATACTGGCAAGACATCAACTATTCCAGCTCTGAATCAAACATGTCAACTGTTACACTTCCGCTACATCTACACAAAAAAAAATACAAGCTTTCCCCAATATTTGGGGGTCAAAACACCTGGCTTCACCCTAATTATGCACAGCTAATTTGATGGCGTTTTTGGGCCAAAACGCCTTCTCAAAGTGCATTAGAGCACTAGCATCACTAGTTATATTATTATTATATATATATATCATATCCCCATTCAATATTCATTCAATCCCATTAGACCAGCATTTCTCCATCTCTGTTGCTTACATCACTGCTTATCCATTTTGATCCATTTTCTCCACCAAACATCTAGCTCATCATACCTGCCTCCAGCCGAAACAATTTCCTCGCGCCTGCAGGGTCTCTTTGCTGATGGGCGTTGAGAGGGCGTCAAAGGCGCTTCGACAAATGGGGCAGCGCCTGCAGGGCCCATGCCGGCCCAGTTCGTTAGCCAAGTTCGTTATAATATAGATAACTAGGATATAGTAACTAGGATATCATAACTATGTTAGATATGATATATAATATAGCATAATATGTTTATAGTAACCATAGTTACCATGATTTATAAACCAACAAACTGGCGGGGCACCACCTTGTATCCAATTCTGGTTAAAAAAAAAAACACAGGGTTTCTCCCAACACCCCAGGGACAAGGGAAAACAATTTGGTAAACAAAGACGTAAAATGACCAATTTTCCAACAATGTATCTGTACGTCGTATATACTATAGTAGTTTGCAGCAACTATGAGAAACAAAACGGGCTTTTGATGGGGATCATCCATTTCTGAAAAACCAACAATACGGATCAACAAGCCATTCCTGGGGGAGAAACAATCCATTTTGGTACGAACGGCAAACAAATTATTGAACAAATTGCAGTGATGCATAGAGCAAGGTGGTAAATCTTCCATCGTCCCACGCACTGTGTAATCAGTGAGAGCAACACCCATGAGGGGGTGAAGAAACAGTAGAAATATATCATAGGGTGATAAAGTGGGTTTGACTATCTGAGGTGTGGACCCAAACAAAAACAATACCACTCACATATATGACTACAAAAAAACATAAGGTCATACCATGTCATACCCAACACCTACCAAACATCAACATGGAGGTATCATGTAGGTCCAATAGGGGATGAAATCAAACAAAACAAAGAATGTGATCAATCATCATACCCTCTGGTAAACTAACATAAGTATGCAAAATCACAATTTTTAATGGGTAAATCAGCTCTAAATGGGCCATGTTCAATAGCAAACTGTTAAATTACCAGAGGGTAAACCATCTGCAATTCTCCCAATTCGCTTCCAGTATCAGAAATGGACGGAAGCAACAAATCCCCATGGGCCCCATGGGTGCTGCAGTTCCCTTGTTTGTTTAGCCAATACATCGAGCAACCGACGCCCCTTGTTCAATGATAAAACCATATAACACTATCATCGTTTTTGGGATCAAATGGTGTTTATGTTATATATAAATAATGGTTTATGATGCTTTATGAATGTTTTTATTGTTACTATGATGATTTAACTATGATGGTTATTATGACGGTTTAACGTCCAAAAGCTCTCCATGAAAGATCTACTGTGCCTCTCGTACCTTTGTGGATGAAATGGCTGCTCTTCATTGATATTGATTTATATTTAAGCTGCGTCCAACATATATGCTCCGACGACAAAACATCTCCAACCAAAATTTACCCGGAGAATTGGACAGTTGATCCTCCCCAAATATGAGGATGTTGGTGAAGCATGACGGCCAACGAACATGGATGAACATGAGGTATGGGATGGCTAGCTGTTTCACAAGTTGCAAAAGGCCAAAAAGTGCATATGAATCAACAAGAACCAGGTCCAGTAGGGGCAAATTCACTCCAACCATCTCTGTGGCAAATGATTTCACCAGGGGTCGTCTTTTTTAAATACAGATATATTGTGTATATATGCATATATATACACAATATATATATATTCTCATCATTACATAATATTTAATATTACATGTATGATTTCCCTATTGCGGATTTTTTAGAGGGGCCCAACAGTTCGACATCGCTCAACGTGGTACCCACCAGTTTATTGTAAGCTGGGCCGGAAGCCCCATCAACTGGTTCGATATACCCACCATACATCCTAGTCTACCTACTTAAAAACCAGCTTAACACACAATCCGAGGCACAACCTTGCTTTGCTTTTGCTGTGCCAACAATCCTTTACACCTTCCCCCTGATTCTTTTTGGGTGGCCTGGGACGCAGTCGCTCCGCACAGGCTGCGTGCATATAGTGCAAACCTCATCAGATAATTATGGGCGGGATATTGCCAATCAATCATAGGATATTTTTGGTGTGTCTGGAAATGGCTGCATTTGGCTGGATTGAGCAACCCAAAATCAGTAGGATAATTAGACTTATATACATCGTTGCAAAATTTAGTCCAAACAGAGACTTCACGAAACATAATGGTGTTACTGTACGAACATTTAAACATTGGAAACTCCGCCAAAAAAAACCTGCAACTATGTCACCACCAAACAAAAACAATGGCTTGGCTTTATAACTTTTTTTGCCATGGTTTTCCAGGCCAAACAGTGGTCAAACATGGCCCTGTCATGCCGTGTCCATAACCCCGACCATGACGATGACCGAGTTGCAGCTGGAGGTTGTGTCACTTTCCAGTGACAGGAGGGCAGCCACGGGCTGAGCACATAAGGAATCCAAGCAAATACCTGCATGTACCCTCCAGAAATTGTTAAATTGGTGGAAACACATGGGAAAATAGCCTATAAATGGCGGAACATCATGGGACATCCCATCAATAAATGGTGTTTTTGATGGGATGGTCAAGCCATGTGCCATGGCAATTTTTTCTGGAGCTCCACCAGCCTCACACGCAAAGCAAGCGGCAGCAAGCGCATACATGGTAATTAGAGGTAATCATCCCGTAGACACAAGTATAAAACCAACTTATATCGGAAAATAGAAGTACAGTAAATGGAGATGGACAAAAAGAACTCTGAAACTACCATGGTCCAGTTGGGTGACTTTGAAAGGATTGGAAGGGCACATTTACATGCTGACGGGTAGATGTTGTGTCAAGAGAATTGTTTTCTGGTTTCTCCTTGGCCAAAACCACCACTCATCAAACCTTAGATGTTCGTGTATCCCAAAACGGTGCATTATTATATTATGGCAGCCCGAAAAAATAGCAAAAAACATATTGTCACTATTTTGTTTTTTTTTTGGGGGGGGGATATGTTGGTACATCCTGTCCATGTGTTTGGCGTTTTTCGTTGTATAAGAATTCCATCTCGAATACAAACACAAACACGATCACGTGGTCGCGAGCCAAGGCCAAGCTACAACAAACCTCCAGTTCCTGCGGGAGGTGGCGGAAAACCCTGCAAGAAAAGGATTGCCATTCATGACCTCGAGGTCAATGTTAATATGATTATATATATAGTGTATAAATAAATATAAATTCATGAATAAATAAATATATATATATATATAACGTGTATCACATTATCAAAATCAGAGGAACATATTCTAAACTAGTTATCTAGAAGTTGCTACATGATCTTACCATCTTACCATGCGTGGTATGGTTTCCCATAACGTGACTACAACAGATGTCCATCACCAATGTTTTCGCGCATAAAACATTGCCAAACTATGGGCCCCAGTTGGCTAGCGATCATCGATCACAAATACATGTATAGATATGTAGATGTAGTTAAATAATTTTTATAGCCGTAGATATAGATATGTCGATATCAATATCATTATTGATTTTTAGATGTAACTATATATGTTTGCTCTAGATTCTAAATGCTTACATTTTCCGTAGATTAATGTAGTGATAGATGTTCTAGATTTGACAATTACAAAACACAAAAGAAAACGGGTGCAGAAATAGCACCAATGCCAATGCCAATTACCATTTACTGTAACAAAAACCGTTTGGATTTGTTTGAACTTGGAGAAATGAAGCAACGAAACTTTCCTACCCAAATTTTCCCAAATTTTATTCTTGGTGGATATATCCCATGAAATATCCAATGACATATCCCACTATACGCAGCAACAATGGTCTGTCCTCCCTCATACTTCCGTAAAAATCTTGCCATCAGTAGGGTATCTCCACAGTGACCACTTCGCGTTCCACCTTGTAAATCTCACCCTCAGCAGCGCTTTGTCCGAGGCAGTTTCGGAACATAGGCATGGCTGCTCCGGCGGTACCATCAACCATGTACCAAATCCAACCTTGGTGAAGAGTTGGTTCATCAGCTTGGTGCGAAACCCATCTGAATGTCTTCGCTGGGTTGCAGTCCTTGCAACCAGTCTGACACCACTTGTATTTGCTGCACCCATACATGGCATCGAAGTCAGACAGTTTGGTTGCCGGCTTCTTGCCCGAGTCTGTCTTGGCTGGCTGCAGAACCCACCTCTGGATGTGGGGGGGGGGCAACTCCGTTTGTCTCTATGATCTGAATCCTCACTGTTGCTATTCCGCTCTCATCATTTTGCCACAACAAAACATTGAGGATCCTGAATTACATACTAATACCTCATGAACTTATTGGTTATATCAGGTTATATCATATCCTGTGAAATATGCAAGTACATAATGTATCCATTTATTACAACATCATTGCATATCCCATTAGCAAGATTATATCAAATGACTATATCACCACTATGATTGTCTCCACAATATACCCACCATCATTGTTTTGATACCCCCGTTAATTCCAACATCTATAAAGTCATGTCCAAAAAGACTCCAAAGTTAAATATCACTATGTTAGTGGGATGTTATCTTACTTTAAGGGATGACTATGATATACCGATATACCCTCTAGTAACCAAACATGGCTTGCGGGAAAATCCACCATTAGTTCGAGGATTCTCCACTGCCACGTTGGAGTACAGGAGGGTGACTAACATTAACTGTTACCCTCTGGTTATGACTAACATAGCCATGGTATAGATGGCCCATTTATGGATGATTTTCCCACTAAAACCTCCATTTATAAGGGATTTTCCATGGCTATGTTAAATAACCAGATGGTAACCAGTATTCTCCCATCATTTACTGTAACCAGTATTAACAATGATTAACAATTTTTAGATCATCATAACAACAGTATTACCCATTATCATCAATATTATCAACATCATTAACCATTTTTATCAACCATTTAACCAGTATTAACCACGGTTAACCATTGTAAGGCAACCATGAGGAACCATTATCAAACCATCATAACACCATCATTATATAACCATTATCATGAATATCACCAACCGATACTTAACCAGTATTAACAATGTTTAACCATCATCAACCAACTAACCATGTCAACCAACTCCCAAATGGTGATTTTCCAAAGTTATTTACCTAGTAAATCAATTACAAAAATACATGGTAGCATTTGGAAATTGCCATAGAAATAGTTGATTTACCTGTTCAAAATGGGTGGATTTTCAATATTTATGTTAAATTACCAGATTGTAGCTGATGTTAATACAAACTATGTAGCTAATGATTTTCTATAAATTACTTGTTGATTTTCTTGTTACCATAATGTTAATTTTCCAAAACATTTTTTTAATTGGGTATGGGTCAAAATTAGGTACCCCAAAATTATGGATGGTTAATACTAAACTAGACTAACATCTGTGGTCCCCTAGGTCTTCCATTTTGACCCACATCCAATTGGATAAACAATTACCAGATGGTAACAAGACATTTCCAACACACGACGCCACGATGCGTCCGGTCTCGTCCCCACCTCGGACTCGTGCAGCATATGCCCCGAGCTCGTGTGCACCACATCGCTCGGTGAGCCGCCCGGTGCCGGTGCCATGGCGGAGGACCGCTGGGCTGGCACCACTTGGGGCCTATAGATCTATATATAGATAGATAAATATGGGCTTTCGATGGTCAATAATGGATATATAATAGTGGATTAAAGATGTTTCTAGATCGAATTTCTGCATTCTAGATGTATCTCCAAAGATGTACATGAATTTGATTGCAGATATTATTTCTTGGGCAAATTTCGGCCCAATAGATTACAGGAAATGGAGAAACGTGGATGTATCTGCGATTGTCCTGGCGACCAATGGGATGCCAAGGGCTATAAACCTTTGTCCTCGTGGCTGGAAGGTATGTTTGGGTTGTGGCTATCTCGAAGGCTTCGGAAACTACCATACGCAACTGTCACGCAGTGTGTCGCACGCATGCATTGCTTGAGACATCTTGAAACCGGTTCAGGCGGCAGGGTGTGATGTTGGGTCAGCATTGACAGAATCTGACATAAATTAAATTGACATTCAACATCATTGAACATCAAACCATGGGGGTTTGTTTGGACAATGGTCTCACAATTTCCCAGATTGTCTTGGTCACCCAAATAATGGTTTTGTCTGAACATGGTATACCCAAATCATATCCATCATTAATTTGCCATAAACTGCCTATGTGAGTGGCATCCTCATTTCAGACACGCCTCATATTCTTGGATGTTTATTAATATTGTTCATATTCCGATTATTTTTCCATGATATACAATTTCATCACTATAAAACATCATAAGATCGCATAAATCCCAAACAGTAACCCTCAACCCCCTTTAAAATCACCATAAATTTGTCAAATCATTCACTGATTCACTCAGCCAAGGTCAGGAACATGGCCTCAACCAGGGTCTTCAGCACAAGCTTTACCAATTCCACTTCCAGCAGATTGTATTTGCTCCTCAGCTGGACTTTTTGTCTGGGGATCGCAGTCTCAAGATGTCTCAAGCCATGGCTTTTCTAATTGGGAGGTTATAAATCAACCATTCTGTAGAGGTGAAATTGGATGTTTTGTGGTATATAATATGGCATGACAGAACCAACCGTATGATTTGGGTTTGTCTCACAGTGCGGCTGCCCAAAATTGCTGGCATTCAAGGGCCGTGATAAAGCTGAAATGAGATTGTTTGATCTTATGATCGTGATGCGGACCGCAACTTCACACCAACAAGGTGGGCACCCTAGATTGCTAAGTTGCTTCAGAACTAGATTGACTGATTATATATGTAACGTATACATAGTTTATGGCAAATTATATCTATAATCTACAAATAATGGAGGTGATAAACCAATCTATGACAGGATGCATCACCTTGAAGGTGTCTGAAACACGATCCCAACATCAAATTTGCTCCTGAGAGTCATGCTGCCAAGTTGTGTTGGATCAACTCGTGTCAACTCGCTGAGTACATCGCAACATTTGTGCCCCAATTTCCGGAGCCAACATGTGATAAGGGTTTTACACCATCTAGTTGCCCTTTGTGTAAAGCCATGTGAAACCCAAGTTGAGGGGCCTAACAACCCCACAGAACACCTTGGCCTAAGAAACATCCAACCTCTCCTACATGTCACATTATAGTGCATCAAATGTAAGCTGACAGAAGTTGCAATGAGCAGGCCCTCCTTCCAACCAATCGTTTTGAATAAATAGAAAGGGATAGTTTGGTAAGTTTGTTATACCATTTTTCATATCACTCGCCTAGAAAGTTAAAAAGGTTGTGGAAAAGGGGTTGCCCACCCTTCTATTTTCATCTACCAGCCATGATCAGCCGTGTGTCCCCTCGTTGTTCTGGCTTTCCTGAGCAACAAAGGGCTGCTAGATTGCCAGGGAAACCGTCACGGGGAAAGGCATTGCCCAACGGATACAAACTCACAGGTACGAACATGTATATAATGTACATGTATGTAATGACAAAAATAATGCTTCTTTATCTCCCCATGTATTTAATTCATGTTGCTGATTAATTGTCACTCCGCCTCAAATATAATGTCAACAAATGTACAGTGTCCATCTGCGGCTAATCATGAGCCCATTGGCCTGCCACATAACGGTGACAAGATTACCTATACGTACATATAAGGCTCTTTGTATGTATATGTATATATATATATATGTGTGTGTTTTTGTTTTATGTAGTCGTATTGTACATGTCTGATTGTCTATAACAACATATTTACAGGTACTAGTATGCATGTTGAGTATGGTTCAGTTATAGGTGCTATAGGTATCAACACGTATAGGGGTATTGTGTAGGTGTAGGTACCGGCATATGTGCAATCAACTGATAAATAAGGTGCATTGACATTGACACGTGCATGTACATGTGTGTTGCAAGCAGGTTCTCCCCGTGAACCTCGTAGGCACACAAGAATCCCAGCTTTTCTCATTTGCAAAGTGGGCTCAAAAACGCCGCCATTGCACACAACTAAGCGTAACTTACTAGTAAGATACCAAGCAAACATGTATTTTGCCAAAATGAGTTTTGTAACAACGTAGCCAACCATATGACTCCAGGATCCCAGAGTGACCAAGGCGATCCAAGGCTTCAGGTTGGCGCACATTGTTCCGCCGAAGTGTTGCACAAAGTTGGCCTTTGGGCGCTGGAAGCTGAGCCCCGGAGAATCCCATGTCAAGGAGCAAACCCATCTTTGCTGCGGAATATCATCGTATTATAAATCCATAGTGCTCTAATCTTAGAAAGTGTTTTGACCTCAACCCCAAATCCCAAGTATAGTCTTTGAAGGTGCTTGGAGCTGTATACCGTCGCGTTATTTGTTTGGACAAATCGCGTGCATTTAGTGTCCATCTTCGTCAGTCCAGGTCTTTCTTGCCGTCGGCAAGCGGTGGATGAAAGCCAATTGCCGAGATTCCTCTCTCGAAACATTTACGGGACAAAATGAGGGAGACCATGTTATTTTGCCGTCACTTAGGGTTTCCATCCGGCAAATTCCGGTAACCATTGTCTCAAGCTACAGTAGTGTTTTATTTGTTTATATTATGTGTCTTTTTCTAGTCATTTCCTATCGTTGTCTCAAAGTGCTTCAAAAAGTCAGCTTGGCACATTTGGGATAAAAGTAACCAACTGATTTGGCTGAGGTGCACTATAACTATCTATAACTTGGCCAATTTATTCCACACAACAAACGGACAGTGTAAGATTACTGCGGGTCTGTTCTGATCTATTTCTTGGGTTCACCACATCCTACGCTCCATGGCCGATGTTAGATACCCTGCCCCCCATCCCTTGAAATAGTTAGACGGAGTTTGCCCATGTTTTCCCAGTAAACTTAACATATAATTATATATAATTATATATGTATGTATAAACATATATATATATATATATACATATAGTTATATATACACATGTATATATGTATGTACATAATACAATGATACATCCGATATGAATCACAAACTCCATCCACTCGATATTCAATGGTTCAATGGTTCTACGACAAGTTGAGCCACTGCATCGGGCGAGGAAGTGTCGAGGTACATGATGGGCGCTGGGCGGCGGAATGACCTTAGCTGGTTGGTCATTCCAAAAAAGATGGAGACAGCAGCGCTTGACAAAAAAAAACAACGTATGGACATATTGAAATATATGGTCATGGTATGCGATGGTAGTTCTGCCAGAATTTGAAGTAGAGGGGAAACTTGATGTATATTCGATTTTACATGATTACTTTTGACATGAAAACTCCCCACTTGGCTGAAGATATAACTGCTCCAAGATTTGATGAAAGTAGAATGTGACCCATTTGATATACCTGAAAGTGGTGATACAGTCATCCACAGAAAACCAAAGGTGAAATAAATCATTGGGATTTTCTGGCATGGTTTTCCCTTTAGAATTGGTTCAAACAAAACGTCGCCAGAAAAAAGGCTGGAGCCGCTATGACAAGTCATGTCTATTCGTGTATTTCCATGTGTTTCCATGTGTTTCCTGGATCTTGAATGATTTGAATATTATTAAGTGAAGAAACTTTTCCAAAACCAGCAAATTTGCGGTGGCTCAGGCGGGCTTCTTGAAATTCCTGTCAGGACAAGAAATTCTTATATAGCATTGCATTGTGGGTCAATTGGACAAGCCATGTGTAATTCTTGGTGGCCACTATTTCTTGAGCAGCAGCAGTTTGATTGTCACAGAAATTTACATTGATGCATATGACAATACAAAACCGAATCTGATGGTCTTGCTGAGTCTAGCTCAAATGTTGTTTGCCTGTCCTTCATTCCTATCCCGAAAACAAATTGGGGTCACCCTCTTTCTCGCGCCACACGCTATCCTCGGAGACGGCGTCTTCGACGCGGCCGCTGCATGCCATGCTCGCTGCCCTGGTCTTCCTTCGCTGCCACCACCTGTTGTGGAGGTATTGGTGTCGGCAGCAATACTCTGACATTGAAGTGATGCTCGCAAGCCGTGCGCACCACGAAGTTGGAACGATGCACCACTGACGCCATACGTCCGAGTACTGAGTGATCTCAATCTGGTCAGCACCACCAAGCAACATGCGAGATGATTTTCGAGTCCTCGCACAGTCACCGCCAAAGTTCAATCTATTAACCTGTTCATGTTAATGGAAGTGTAGCTCTATGTTTTTTAATTTTTTATATAAATTTGGATTGGCCCCAACCGTCTGTCGTCTGAAGCCTTTTCTAGGAATGACATGTTGCATTTTTTGGGTTAATCCTTTCACACAGCTTTGGAGGCATTTGGAATCATTTGGATATACATTATGTTGACAGGGTATGTCATTTGTAAGTTTTCCAATGCTTTCCACTATAAAGCAACCAGGTGAGATTAGGGTTGAGGTGAACCTTTGCGGCACACCCGTTCCAAGCAGGTTGAAACTTCCAAGGATTGGGTGAGGGTATAGTATGAAAGCTCCTTACCATCGCGATTGTGGTGGAGGGGTTCACCACAGATTTGATGTGACAAATTGTCAAGGGTGATGGGGGCATAGTATGCCTATAGCGGAGTATATTGTGGGTTTGTCAATGGCACTCCCAAAATCCCATGCAAACAATAAGAATTTCCCTTATCAAAGGTGTGCTATAGAGAGATAAAACCAAACACCACAAGGATTTGACCCACCATTGGTCCATGACCCACCAAGCAATTCGCAATGCTACGAGGCACTGCGTACGGAAGGGTTGACTCATCAACTTCTTTGAAAAAGAGCTCAGGGGAAGGCCATCCTGCGGCTGTCTTTGTGCCTTACGGCCATCATTCGTGGACCATGTGGACCACATTTTTTCAAGGGGACAACGGTGCCTTGAACGAGGCAATGGGTAATGTCAAGCACCATGCTATCCCATGCTATCCCGCTTTGATATGCATATATATATATATATATATATATATAATTATATATATGTATTACTGGTTGGTGGTTGGGCCCTCTGAAAAATGATGGAGTTCGTCAGTTGGGATGATTTTTCCATTCCCAAACCAAATGGAAAGTCATAATCCATTCATGTTCCAAACCACCATCTTTATCCATCTTTAACAAGCGCGCTGCCTCAGTTCACGGAGACAGCCCTGTTCGCTGCACCATCGCACTATTGCCCAGGGAATGACGAGTCCCACTCTGGCACTGGCAAGCTATCTAACGCCCGGCTCTGCCGCCTAAAGAGTTGCTCCGTGAAATTAGAAAACCAATCATCCACAGCTTCCAAACGATTTTCAGGCCAAGGCAGAGCCAAGCATCCAGAAAACATTGCAATCAAAAAGCTCTTTGGCCTTTGATACCCTGAAACGATGTTGAGTCCTCCATGTCTGCACGTTTCACGAAGGACTTTGGCAAACCATTTCACCCGCAATTTGAAACCGAAATCCAGCAGTCGATGTTGTGGAATGTTCGCACCATCTTTCCAACCATTCAGTTTCAGCGGCCCAGGCTCACCCGTGGATAAAACAAAATCGACATACAACTGAGAATACGAAATCCATCCCATTGCAGCAGTAGAAGAGCGAAGCCCGTTCCAAAACCAGTTAGCCAGCTTAGTCACAACCTCAGTTCCATACCATCGGGTCGCACCAGGAGGGCAACACGGCTCAGGAGGCAGTTGTTTCCAAGCAAAGGAAATCTCCCCAGTCACTGGAACAGGAGGGCTTTCCTCCACAGTCTCTTGGTCAGAATGGCGTACAACCATCCGGCTCACACGCAACAAAACATCACGGATTTCAGCATTCCACGCATCAACGTGTGTGCATGCATTAACATGTCGTGAAAGCAGCTCCCAGAAATGCGCAGGCCGACTGAAGTTGGCCCGAACTGCAGTGCGATCAGCAACATGGTTGTGCAGGGCGCACCACTCTTCCAGGGGCGACGCAGCATGTCGAAGCTCAGCATGTGCAGCCACTTTAGTTATCTGTACCATACCATCACCACCATGTTTCAAGTCTTCAGCCACTGCATTCCATAGATCCGCATTGGGGGAATTACACTTGACTCTAGTTCCTTGGATGACACGACGGAGACGGCGGACAACAGACAAACAGTCAGACCAAATCATCACTCTGATTCCATGGGTTATGGCAAATTTAATCACTCGGGCAACAGCATACAATTCGGCTCGGACAGATGTTTGACGAATGCCAGGTAAAGGACCACAATCCAATATTACCGGTGCTCTCTGGTCAGTGAAAGCAACTACTGCAGAGTAAGCAGCGAACCTAGCATCAGGATAGTTGGAATTGTAACAACTGCCATCTGTGAAAACCTGCAACATGTCTCCAAAAGAACAAGCCGGGACCGGCGCAGGCATCAATCCAGCCAAATATGTGTACCACTCAGTGAAAGTAGTGGGACGAAGCGCCCACCCATGGCAGACAACACTTTCAGGAAGTTGCGGCAAGGCAGTCCATAGAGCATTGCTGACATGGCATCTGCAAGACTCAAAAGCCGGGCAAATCCAAAAACGATGGTAACGAGAATCGGAACAATGGCAATAAAGACAAACATCCGAATCAATTTCCTGGCAGTGATGTTTCCCATCTTGTGTGATGTGAGCCCCATTCAATAACTTTCTCACCATGGCCTGGTCACTCACTTCAAGAGACTGCAACCAGTTGCGAGTTCGAACAGGGTCCACTAAGTCCAGATCCGACAGCCCTGGTCGGTGCCTGACCTGAGCGGAAACAACCTTCAACCAAGACCACTCCATCCTCCACATAAGTTCTTCAATGCTGACTTCAAGCAGTGAAAAGGGGCCAAAATCATCAACACAAAAACCCGTGGGAGTGATATGCCATCCCAAGGTTTGGAGCCGACAAAGCAAAGTGGCGGAAATGCCATTCAACATCATGTTAGGGTCTCCATGTGCAAGGGCAACCAAGGCTGACACAACCACCGCAGGGACCCCACAGTCCCGGACAAGGCGAAATGTCTGAGCAATGGACCAAAATAGAGGGTCGGTCATTGGCTTTTCGCACAGACCCAGCTGTATAACTGGGCTGCATCCCGAACCATCTGCGCGCAAACTTCTCATTGCAGCTGATCGCAAGGACTTAAAGGTTTGCTGCGACACCATGGTAGCCGCAATAGCATGTAGTGCCTTCGGCCACGCAGCAGTGCGGATGGCACGAACTTTCACATTGTATGGCGATGCTGTGAGGCGCAACTTAGGCCACAGTTTGCGCAAATCATTCACTCGATCCATCTGGGTGGAATTAGTATGTTTACGGGTTGTCTGCAAGTGTGCACCTAACATACGACAGCTCTCAACAACTCGAAACCCTTGAGCATTCAAACTCTTCCGTCCAGAACTGGAGGTGGACCACGCAAAAGTCTTCTTGGCATCTAAAAGCAAATCCATGGCATCAGTGAACCGCTGGAGACAATCAAAAATCCCTGACATCAAATCAGGCGATGTGGTAAGCAACGTCCAATCATCAACATAAGACACGGGCTGACACAATGGGAAAAATTTTCCATGCCACAAGTGGAAAAGAAGGTCAACAATCACCATCCCAACGCAAGAGAGGCCATCTCCCTCGGGGAGCCCAGTCACGCTGTAAACAACTGGAGAAAGATTGGGACCAAGCTGAAACCTTCTACCAACCTGAGCTAGTGCGCCAGCCCATCCACACAGAACATGCATTGGGACGCCTAACAAGGCAGCAGCCTCCATGACCACAATGCGAGGGATATGGTTAAAAGCCTTTTGCAAGTCGGCAATTAACCCAGCAAGGTTAATATTGCAAGCATGAGAGTCCTCAACTGCCCAAAGTAGTTGGCTCCATACCTGCCCTGCAAATCTGGAAGGACGGCTACCATAAAGCGTGTCCGGCAGGAATTTGTCAAGCTGTTGCATGATTTTGTGTGAGTAAAAGGACCCCCACGTGCGATACAACATGCCAAGAACCGTAATGGGACGGTAATCCATCACTGTGCGAGGATTTTCAACCTTCGCAAGGCACGCAACCTTGCCAAGAACCAGCTGCGATGGCCAAACCCCAGTGCGTTCCACTTCCTGATACATCGAACAAATGTTCTGTAAAGCAGAGGGAGGAAGACTTTGCAGATCAGCCAACGAAACACCATCCAATCCACCAGCTGACGTGCTCTTCTTGGTGGTGAGCACTTGCATGAGGCATTCAACTGTGATTGAAGGGACCACTATGGGTACCCGCGCAATATTGGCATGTGCAAATTTCAAAATGACATCCCATCGATCATCTGAAACATCTTTGTGTCGGTCCCATCGTTCTTTCCATGCCGAGATGAAAGCATCAGCCAACTCTTCTTTCTTACCAGTGCATTTTAATTGGGTGACCAAACCACCAATCTGACACGAGGAAACTGAATTTACCCACAGGCAGTCATCAGTGACATGAATGGGGTGCAACTGCGCTCCATTACACCACAATGGCAAAGCTGGGTCCCAAGGCTGAGCAGGTTCAACCACCAACGCGAGTTCATCCTCACGGATCTCGGTGACTGAAGCTTTGAGGGGTTGAAGCAAATAGTCAACTCCATCAACTGGGACATTCTTCAAATCACGGAAAATCTGGTTGGGGTTACGAGCTCTCCTAAGCCTGGCATACTGCCTAGACGTACTGCGTAATTGGGATTCCAGGGAGCGAACTGCAATTGCAACAGTCTCAAAAATTTTGCAGGCAATGTCGTACACAGTCGGGACACCCGGGATGGACACGGGAGAACCATGGACATGACATCCACACGAAAGCCACCACTGGCAAAAACCCCCTTGAAATCCCTTGGCACGTAATACAGAGGCCCACAACGCCATTGCATGAGAAGAGTCGGGCTTTTGGTTGTGAACACATCTCATGTAGGATTGCAACCTGCGCACTTGTCGAATCCACTGGGCATGACGCCATGACGCGCCAAAAAACTGTGGCTGGAAATCACCAGGACGACCCACACGCAGCGGAGGCATCTGACCAGGCTTGACAGTCTTAATTGTCATGGTGCTTGCCCTACCCTGCATGTGTTTCTGCACAGGAAATGGCAAACGTGATGCAGCAGCTTGCTCAAAGTGAGTCCACATCTGTGAGTACCGCTCATCCACCGATCCAGTCAAGTTCTCCCACAAGGCAACATCCACTTCCCATGATTTAGGCCAAGGGAAGGCAGCAGGGCGCCTCCAGACATCATTGGGCACAACATGTTTCAAGCGCTGAAAGTGACCTTGAACCACGGCGTGGTCTGGCCAAAGATCGTCTATCACTGAGACATGCAACAGGAGTTCTTGGAGTTCACGGGATATGAAACAGTAATCTTTCCTAGTCTTAGACTTGCACGTGGGTGCTGGCAAAATGCCCCAACGCTCGGCAGCAAGATCTTGGAGATCCTTAAAGCCAGCACTTTCAAGCAGATCAAACACAGGCAGCTCACCATAATCCACGTTCCAATCTCCTGCAATGACCCTAGGTCCTGTTGACATAAATCCCACCGTAGCAACCACCGCTTGAAGGAGAGCTTCAGTGTTGGCCAAGCGATCAGGGTACATCTTGCTGTCAGGTTCACCATAAACAACACCCCCAGTCAACCAGAGATCATCAATCAAAGTTGTGAAAGCTAAGGCACGGGAGGAGCGGCAAATTGCCAAGTCCCAATCATGAGGAATTGGTCGCACTGGAGTTCGGGACAGAGCACTAACTCCCTTCCACTTACCAGTATTGTCAGGTGAGTCAGGCACTGGGAATCCACCAATCATAGGCTGGAAAG